CTAGCTAGCTTGTAGCTAGGCTGGAGAGAAACCCCGGTCGCTTGAGGATCAACCCATCGTCTTTGTGTATTCCTCCTGCACAAAAACTCCAGGCCAACTCAGCTGATCATACCCCGTCGCCATGACCACCATAAATATACAAATCAGCATAAAAATCTCTGATGAGCATCTTGTCGTAAGGATCAACTCATCAGTATACCTAGTTAACCAGGTATATCTTTTCTCTTCGACGTATTCCCGCCGAGAACAGTACAACCTCAAGTTGGGATGCAAGTGCCTCTGCTGCATCCAGGCACAGATCTCGCCATCTATCACTATCGAAGAGACGGAGACCATGGTCCCCGTGGAAGCCATGAGCGGGACCCGGTCAGTTACGTGGACGTACGCGAACATCGCGGCATTGCTTTTCTCAGCCAGGTCAAGCCATCTTTCACATACTTAGTCGATGCAGCCCATCAATCATATCACTCATAAAAGACCGTCAATATTTTTTCTGCTCGAATCCTAGTTGGCAGTGCAAAAACGCAGCACGCAGCTGGGCATATCCAGACGAACAGGAAATTTCTTTTTGCAACTCGCTATCTCTCTGTGGCTGCTGCTGTATCTCCCTTGCGCGTCGAAGTGGAATTCAAGACATTGAGATTGCTTTGATGACATCGAACTCCTGAGAAACCTTCACAGGCGGAAAACTTTACAGAGTATGTGTCAACCTTACAAGATTTCATGAATAAACAGACGAAAAGGGATTAAATACGCGCCAAACGTTTTTTCTTTCTTTTTTATTAAAAAAAGGCATCAGTAGAAGGAATAATGGCCCTGCAGCAAAAGAGCGTCGAAGGTAGATAGCTATAACTCGGACATGGTGATTGAACCGCCATATAAACATCCCCCTGGACCAGATTACGTTGTGACCATCCTGAACCCCCAAGTTCTCGACATTTCTAAAGCTTGATGACACTTAAAATGTGCATATTCAGTAGGGGAGAGAGATCTCATACTACCATAGATTACCACCTGGGTCGCTGTCGCATTGTCCTGCAAGCACCCAAGAGGCTCAAGTCCCAGCGTATCTGATGTAACTCTCATACTTCTAATCCACAAATAAAAAAAGGGATAAGGAAAATGATTTACTGGGTGAAGAGAAAAAAAAGCAACGACGCGCGCTTATCTGAATGGTCAGCTCCACTTCACTGTTGCTGCGTTGATTGGACTTCCATATTGATTCAGATAGATCAATAGGAATACTATCGTTCAGACGGACTGCCGGTCGAGAGGCGCACTTGAGTCTTCGGAAACCCACATCATACGCACCATTATTAATGCTCCGCTGAACACCAATGTATGGATGTACGTAGGCTGATAAGACTTACGGGACTTGCGGTGCACAGAAGCCTACAGACTTTCTGGAGCAGATGGTTACGCGCACCTGAGATCGGAGGTAAAAATTTCCATTGTTTCAACTATCCTACTTAGCTATCGAGAGATACTGATTCGAACATTTCGCACGTTTTCGTGGAAAACTAGTTAGTTGCCTCTACATAGCTTGTAGCCTCAGCAGTACTCAACCATACAACCGTGGTTTGACGAAGATCCAGAGAGTCAGACATTGTTAAACTGCATAGCAGTTCATTCATAGGTCGTGTGAATGTCACGGTCCCCGTTGATCTTTTGAGCAGTTTGGGATAAGATAGTTCAAATGATGCTATCGAACGGGGCACATCTACCTTACCTAGCCCAAGTGAAATGCATCATTGCATTCCAAGCCAGCAAATTGACGGGTTGGATTGGAAGTACCAAGATTCTGCGCCGAGCCCAAGTCAGTAATTTGTATGACAAGTGTAACCCGGAACAATGAACGAATTGTGAACATTATCAGATAAATGCCCTGTCACAGGCTGTGGTCATCAATGCAAAAGCTATGTTGACCGTCGTGATAAAAAAAATAAAATCATCATAGGAGAAGAACGCAAAATATCAAGGCCAAGAATATCTTACCAAAGATTCAAGCCAGTGTTGATACCACAAGCTCTGTGATCTAAACTACCGCAAAATCAGCTAAACATTGTATGCGACAGTATGGAACACCATGTCAAATGGTCCAACGGTATCAGGGAATGACGGTGTCGTCGTTGCCGACAATTGCCAGCTTGGACATATGCTTGTCTTATTTTATAGTCTTGGCTCATCATGAAAGAGTGTCGAGTTGTCAACAGCAATAGAGACACGTACATGGATTATACGTGTGCTGAGGTTATAAAGAAACTGAAGACCTAAGTGCTGTCTTCACGTCAGTAACCCGGAGGCCGAAAGTTATCAAAATGGAAAATCGACATAGGGGGTTCAGAAATGCATGAATGGTAAAAAGAAAGGTTGTCCGCATCGAGTACTCGAATAGGACTCGTCATCTAAGAGATCATCATGAGGAGCGGAGATGTAATAATAAATAAGGAGAACCTACTCTAAACAGAGCACTCCATATTCCATATTTCATTTCACTTCAAGATCTGAATGGCGACAATGTCAGCAACTCTCCCAAAGGCGCAAAACAATGGCCACCAAGAAAGCTATCTTGAGTCGAAAATCAGTGGGCGAGGTTTTCTAGGCCTGCCACAATGGGGCATGTCCATCAAGAGTCGGCTCGTTTGTACGAAACCGTCGGAGCCCAGTGCCATTCATCATATGGAAGGTTCCGTTGACGAGTAGGAAAAGGGTTGCATCTTACAGAAGCGTAAGGAAGTTGAAGCGACATCTGTGTATATACCTGTCAGTCAACAGTTCAAAACATGCGATACTGAGCAGGAAAAACGGGTGAAGGTGTGAAATCAGATATCAGCCATTTTGTATCGTCAGAGACCCGAAGGTCTCGGTCGGTAATTTCCAGCGTATAGTTACAAAGAAAGAATCATCATGTAATGGGTCGGAGCTTGCCCCCGTTTAATATGTTGACGACATACCTTTGCTTTGGTCAGTACGGATGTTACTTCCGTGTGATTTGTCTTGGGCCCTGTTGTCTTCGAGTAGGTTAGCTATGTTTCATGGAGAAAGGCATTCAAAGGAAAGAAATCAATTCCTCCAGGGTCTTCTTCGAGATCAGACTGACGTGTGCAAATGCAATTTTCATACCACAAGGTCAAAGACTCTAGTTTAAGCGGTTTTACAAATCATCACAAAGTTAAGGATAGAAGATATTGCTAGGGAAAATAATAAAGGGACATCACTCACCATAGATTAGTCGCACGGCCCGAGATCTCATTCCTGGCATATTTCCATTGCTGTTGGGGATGTTGGGCGCAGCCAAAGCGAGAAGTCGAGAGAAGGAAAAGAAAATTCGCAACGAGATTTGAGCTTTTTGAGCCTTGTGCCTTTGTCAAGCCCATGCCCGAAGCGGGTTAGCGCGTGTCGTGTCGCTAATTTGACCATGTTTGCGCTGTTTGCTTCGCCCCCTTCGTTTTGCTGGAGAATCGAGATGCATGCAGACGAGGGCAGTTCAGCTGGTTATCGACGAGCAGGCAAAAAGGATGGCCTGTGGCAGCCGTATATATGCTCGGGCGGTCTCCCCCACGGTGGATCACAATCATCGTGTCAATTGATAGTTACACGGGTAGTTCTCCCCAGCCAACATTCTCTATCATGACCTTCATTCTCCTAGTCTCCGGCTCCGATGATCAGCCGTCCTCCGTGCCGTGGTCAGCCCCGGAGTTAAGAGGTGGTCGAGCCCGTTCTATAAGGGTGCCTTAACGGGTATACATTCCTTTCCCTAAGCAAGAATGCATGGTAGGAGTTTAATTCCACATTTCCCGCTTCGGATGAGTGTGCGTATATCGCGATACTAGATTATTGATGGAATGCATCTGCGGCAAACTACTCCGTACTCTTGGGACTATGCTATTAGCAATGCGGTGGCTACAAGTGACCAGGTGTCCCGGGCGGAAGAAACCGTTGATGATTTACGAATGAATTAGGGATGATTCGGTGCCTTGATATTTGAAGTATATGGGATCAGGCTTGCTCTCGCTCTTGGGTGATTCTTCGAACAGTTCAAATCCTAAAGTTGGATAGTATGCAAATTTTCTGTTTGCCACTTCTACAGATTGTTGGGACAAAACATGCGATCATCGAAGGTCTCCGGTAGCGAACGTCTTGCCAAGGACTCAGGGAAAAGGAAATGCGACCATCGTCACCAGGCCATAAAGTGATGCATCCTACTGACGTTCCATCTTTGTAAAAAGCGCTCGCCTTTCTGGACGTACATTCATATACATATCTCACTGTCTGGTTGCAACGAATGGTACTGCAGGCATGGCCGGTAACCAACTCCACCCGGTACCTGCGTCCCTGTACCTTGTGCGCTCCAGAGTTTTCCCCCGCCGGGTATTATATAGGAGCAGCCAATCACGAATGCGAGTACAATGCTCATTCTCCTGCTTGAGACTCAAGTCCCTGGCAATCCTTCGCTGAGCATGCATCGGGCATAGCCGGAAGACGCGCGAAAACGATCCGGGCATGAGGGTCACTGATCCCAGCGCTGCAGATCAGGTGGCTGTTAGCGCGGGGCATCGCGGCGGCGACGAGGGGCTGCAAGAAGACAGCGCTTTGCCGGGCACTTCGATACTTGGTCTGAGAGCACCGTTATTTGCTTGAGCCGGCTGTTAGCTATTAGTTAGCTGTTAGCCGGCATAGCTGACTCGCATTCGATGACGGTGAGAGAGAGCGCGCTCAGCGGCCTGCAACCTTGAGTGGAGCATCACGACATCGCGAACAATGCGGATTATTCTTTCTCCCGGCCAAACAGAAGACAGCGCTGTGGGCGGCGGCTGTCCACGGGAGAGCTCATGATTGCTGCGGGACGCCGAGTTGCGGGTGCACCAGAATTGTTCCTTTTATTTCCGCGATTTGGGTTCGTTAGGCCTGGAGTGACGTTTTGTGCCCTCGGCTTGTTAAGCTTCGAGCCAAATTTATCCTCCCGGCACCGCTCTCCTCTCCCCTCATTTTCATTCTCCGACGTCAATTGACTTGCTAAGCCGCCTCCAGATTCACCTCTGCCCGTCTAACATCTGCTCTGCTTCCATCTCCAAGCCACCTGAGGGCAACGTCCTAGCACGAACGGCCTCGGCATACTCTTCCCTTTCCACCTACCTTCTTCTTCCAGCCCTTTCATCCAATATGGCAGAGTCAAACGGAAACGGGGCTTCGGCAGTTGGTCACGAGTCCATCAATACTGATATCATCACCCTCACAAGGTTCTTGACTGAAGAACAGACGAAACACCCGGAAGCCACCGGGGATTTCACGTATGTGGCCCTCTCTCGTGCATTGTTCTCCCCGACAGGAAACGTTGGTCTAACCCCGTAACTCTCACCGTGTAGCCTCCTCTGCCATGCCCTCCAATTCTCTTTCAAATCCATCGCATACTATATCCGACGTGCTAGCTTGATCAACCTCACCGGTCTCGCTGGCTCCTCCAACACCACCGGTGACGACCAGAAGAAGCTCGATGTCATCGGAAACGACCTTTTCGTTGCCTCCATGCGGGGGTCTGGTAAATGCCGTATCCTGGTCTCTGAGGAAGAGGACGAGGCTATTTTATTTAATGAATGCAAGGGCGCTCGATACGCCGTCGTTTGCGACCCTATCGACGGATCTTCAAATCTTGACGCTGGTGTTTCCGTCGGTACAATCTTTGGCATCTTCCAGCTACCAGAGGAAGTCCTCAGTGAGAACTACACCGTCTCTGCAAAGGATATTCTACTCCCCGGAACGGAGCTTGTCGCCTCCGGATTTACCATGTACGGCGCCTCCGCGCAGCTCGTCATCACCATGAAGGGTGGCACGGTCAACGGCTTCACCCTCGAAAACTCCCTTGGCGAATTCATCCTGACACACCCTAACATGCGCCTTCCTGCGAAGCGTGCCATCTACAGTGTCAACGAAGGAAACTCAATGTACTGGGAAGAGTGGGTCAAGGCGTACTTCCACGAGCTCAAGTTCCCAGCGAACGGCGGCAAGCCATACAGCTCCCGTTACATCGGCAGCATGGTCGCTGATGCCTACAGAACCCTTCTCTACGGAGGTATCTTTGCCTATCCCGCGGACTCCAAGAGTCCCAAGGGAAAACTTCGCATTTTGTACGAGTGCGCCCCGATGGCTATGGTTTTCGAGAACGCTGGAGGCCAGGCTGTCAACTCAAGCATGCAACGACTCCTCGAGGTCGTTCCTGAATCTATCCACGATCGAAGCGGTATCTTCCTGGGCAGCTTCGACGAAGTTCAGAAGGTTATTGATACTCACAAGAAATTTGTCAACTAAACCGCGATATAAATACCTTGGCGCCTTTATCCTCTTAATGTGGATCATTTCCTTGCTGATAGCCAGCTTCTCCTTTTCAGACCACCCATGGTAGCAACACCGCACATAACCATACTCACATGCATTGGATCCTGGGACTCTTTTAACAATAGGATGAAGGCTGCTCATACCCAACCCCGACAACTTACCTGTCAAATTAATGGCCAGCAATTGGATATATGTGTATATATGATGAATGAAAAGATTGGACCTAAAATATGAATGAAACAGAATATATGATTAAACTCCAGGCTCGAGGTAGCTACCCTAGGTTCTGTTTTCAATCGTTTGAAGAACTCCTTGTGCTGTCTTAAATTACTTCTTAACCATTTCCAAACTCAAACATCAAACCCTCTAATAATAATTTTATCTATTTATTTATCTATTTATTTAATTTTTTTTTGCTTATTTGGCTCACCTCCCCATATGCCGCACAGCAGTCATTAGTCCTCCTTAGTTCCCATTTGCAGACATGAATCAAGCTCCTTAAGACCATCCCTTCGGGGTTAACCCTCAACCATCCCTTATTGGTATACTGGGAAGTCACCCATCTCATCCATTTTTACAATCAATCCTCGACTCATCACAACGGATGATAACCCGATCCGCACCAAGTGCGAAATCTGAGCGGCTATTAGGAGTGCAGTAAATGCTTACGGTCTTCTCCAAACAGAAAGAGGACAAACGGGGAGGAACACCACCCCGTCACGCCTCAAGATTAGTCCAAGTGGTCTCCGCAATTCTCCCTGAAAAGATAACAGATAGGTGGGCGGGACCGTGGGAATGGAGGTGGAGAGCGAAATACGCACCATGTTCCCCTTGCAGAACCCAGCACAGCAAGTGCTGCCTTCGGTTCGGTGCCAGGAATACGATCGGAAGACAAAGGGAACGGCCATGATTCCCCTATTCTAGAGTGAGAAAAGAAATAACATGATAGCGATGAGGGCAGTGGTTGAACTATCTGGAGGCATACTCTTCCGCCTAGAGTTTGGATGATTTTTATGTTAGCTTTGAGGATCACACCCCACAAATTCCCTCTTTTTCCAGCCTCGGAGGACAATAAGGGCATGGAGGCACTGACATAAGTTGCATGCGGACCACGGAAGTTCGGCCTTTCCCAGAGGTCGACGCGATCCGCTAGGGCGCCGGAGAGAGAAGCCAATGAGGCAATGAGGATGGAGAGTTTCATCCTGAAGACCCAAGAAATGCTAAGATTCCTGGTTGAACTTGATGTTCAGAATGATGAAAGAGACGAGTGAGAGCGCGTTAATTTGAGTGCGTTAATTTGCAAGTGAGGTGAATAGCGCTCTGAAGCAGGTGATCATCCCTGGCTTTATATCGAGTCTCATGACGGGGTGTTGAAAGGTGGCAGAAATCCAAAAGTGCGGGTGGGATAAGACAAGTCGCAAAGCTTTCATCAGGAACTCATCTATCCGGGAACTTTCTGCTCTATATTGTCCTTTGTATAGATGGATTCTATGTGTCCCACTGCGGCATTTAAAACTGACCCTTTAAAGGTTTGAACATATGCAGTTCTCCAGAGCAAACGGAGATCTCACGACATATTCAATTTGCTTAGCCAGTAGGGAAGAGAAGGAAAATGTCGCAACATCACGTTAACCCCGTCAAAGTGTGGCGGATGTGGGCAATGTCCAGGAGTTTAATGGGTAGGTGCTGCGGCTCGCAGAAGAGCAAGGAAGATCGCAAAAGGGTCCCCAGTAGTGCCAGAGGGCAAAAAGAGCATCAAATTCCTTTGCCTAGATAATTCAGTCTGGTTTTAACACCTCTGGACGTCGCTTGTGCAGAGACCGCAACCACGTGATCCTGGTTTTGAACACCCAAACTGTAAGAGAGAGAGGGAGAGGGAGTTTCAAGGTTGCTGTGATCTACACTCACTGCATAGGGTTCAGCCGTGACTCCACAGAGCGGCACCTGGCCCATACTTGAATGGAAATGTGCAGCTTGTTTGCTAACATCTCTTGGCTATAGGCCTCCTACTAGAACTGTTGGTACAGTACGTGCCACACATTTATATGTCTTTGCATAACACAGCACAATTGCAGGCGCTGAACATGTTGCCAATCTGGCCCTGGTGTCTCCATGAGGGTGGTTAACTGTATCTTTATACATATTTCACTGCTTGGTTGACCCGGACCCCGTTTATTGATTCCGCTCAAACGCAGAGCCCTCCGATGCCGATTGTGCAGGGTTTCGGATACGTGCTTCGAATCTTTGGATTAAAAAAGCGGTTCTATAAAATCTCGTACTATAAAGAAAACAATGGTGGAACTTCAAAATGCGGAAAAGCCAATCGCTACCGGCCGCAAAATCCACCATCAACCTGCAGAATTGTCAGCGCACTGAACCAGAATATATACCCTAAGGAATGCAGCATACCGTTAAAACCTCTCCAGTAACATAATCGCTTGCTTTACTCGCCAGAAATACCACTGGCCCTTTCAAGTCCTCTGGATCTCCCCATCGTTTAGCGGGAATCCGTTCAATGATACTCTTATACATCGGGGAATCCGGGTTCCCATGCAAATCCCGGTTCAGATCCGTGGCAATGTATCTTACCAAATCTGTCAGCATTTGCTTCCCGATGAACTCCAGATATTCCAGAGCGATTGCCATAAGTGTGGAAAAGAACGTGCTCACCCCGGCGCAATCGCATTAACACAAATCCCCTTGCTCGCCCACTCGTTGCTCAGGGCCTTTGTCAACTGTCCTACACCCCCCTTACTTGCCGAATACGCAGGAATCCTCACACCTCCAAAGAATGTCATAAGACTTGCGACGTTGATTATCTTTCCCTTTATTCCATTCTCGATCCAATATTTGCCAATATCCCTACAGAGCGCAAACGTGGCACTCAAATTAACTTGTATAATCTCATCAAATACGTCTTGCGGGAACGTATCAGAGTCATGGCGTTTCAAAATACCAGCCGCATTAACAAGGATATCGATCTTATGGTCAGTGGTAACACGCGGGATGAGCTGCGCCACTGATGATTTGTCCCCGAAATTGCACGTGTAGCTTGTGCACTTTCTTCCAAGTTTTCGGACGGCTTCAATGGTAGGCATGTCGGGAGAGGAGCCCTGATAGAAAAGTACTCCGTTAGGTGGTCTTGGACAACAAGCTGATTGCACGTACCGTGGCGCACTTTGACAACGACGATATCTGCTCCCGCTTCGGCCAGGGCAATTGCCATTGCCTGTCCGATTCCCCTGGTGGCCCCGGTCACCACAGCTGTCTTTCCCGTTAGATCAAATGCTGATGCCATTGTGTCAGGTTGATTTGGTTAGACAAAGGATCGAGCAAACAATTCGATTGTAATGCATTATATTGTACTCCGGACTTCGTAGTCAACACTGGCCGCGGGGTAGCATGAGGCCCACCAGGTGAACTAGTTGGATAAGCGTAAGCTTGTGAGATGATTTCGGGCCGAGACATATTGAGCATCGGCATTTAATTGCCGGATTGTTTGTTGCCACCAATATCACATCGACGGCTATACTGAAGCGTGAGGGTGAGGGACAGGCCCTTTAAGCAATTAGCTTGGAAATTATATTGTACAGTCCAGAGTACAACTTGAGAATACTCGAAAGAGAAGTTTAGAATAAAAGAGAGCGTCCCAAAAGAAACTCTATGGTATAAGGACCAGTCCCATAGAGATAAACAAAGTACATATCAAATCAGTCGACAGGGTCCTCTTCTAGCAATATCTTGAAACTAAAGGGAGTGAAAGGAATTCCATCACCCATGAAATGTTTGCTCATCGCTTCGACCCAATGCAACCTGAGGGAATGCAACATCGCACTAGTTCCTTCCATGACACAAAGCACAGCAACAGTTAGGGTGAACCACATATAAAACGTAACAATAGTAAGAATCACTCGAACGGTACTGGACTCAGAAGTGAATGCGTTGTTGAGAGTCATCGTCCAAAGCACGATGGACAGCTGCTGATGGGCAAGGGATAATGCCCATAATCGGAGATAGGATGCAGTATGAGAAACACAGTTGAGACAAAATTCTATAATATTATGCATTAGAAGAGAATCAACCGTTTTAAAAGGTGGGATGAATTGCTTACCAATGGTGTGAATGATCTGATGAATCATTTCATCCCCAAAGTCGAATTCTTCATGCTCCTCCTCGCCCATATCCTGGGTAATCATTCCGATCCCGTCTGCATCACTGGTCATGCTATGGCGAGCAGAGCCTCGACCGTCCTCTTCGTTTTCATCCAAGGCACTAACTCTCGAGATTTCACCGAGACCTCGATAGCCAAGGGCACGAGCGCGATTGTGCTCCCAGCGGAGATAAAACGGTTTCAGAAACAAGAGTATCGGAACTTGAATTACTGCCAGGAGTACGAGGATTACTTGGACCGCTCCCTGGCCCTTATAAAGTTGTTCTTCCACCGAGCCGGGGCGGAGAAACATGAAAATAAGCATATTTAGCAAGCTAGGGGGTTGTTGTCCTCGCGCCGGCCAGTCAACCACCCATTTAAAAATAATCGTGAAAGCCAAATAGCCAAAGATCGATTGGAAAAAGATCATCCCCGGGACAAAGTTTCCCCAAATCTCGATCGGCTTTTTGAAGTGTCGGCCATTTAAAAACGACAAACACAACGAATAAGTCATCTGTGCGAGTTAGTTAAAATCAAGCAAGATATGAAAAAGTAGTGTACTTACGTGACTCCAACCAAGTAAAATAGCCAGCTTCATCTTGAAGCTGTTAGAGAAAAGCAAGTTGTTGTCAGCAGCATGCCAACCCCAATCAAGCCCGAACGGATATCTGTAGCTCCCCTTAAGTGTTGCGGTCACAGATTGACCCTCCCGAGTAACCTCTGGCCATTCCCAAGCGCTGGGGAGAATCTCCAATGATCTCGAAAACATATCATTGTATATCAATCCGGTATAAATGGAAAAGATACCCATCAAAAGCATAATATATCGACCATAGAAAGCCATACTTGAGATTTCATCCAGTTTTGTTTTTGCCAATTTTTTCTCGAACAGAATCAGAGTGACTGCCGCCATTGTCATAAGCAGTCCATGGCCACAGTCACCAAACATGACCGCAAACAAAAATGGAAAGGTGATAATAGTTGGCAGGCCAGGATTGACTTCTCGATACTTAGATATTCCATAGGCATCAATGATGGTTTGGAATCCCTCTGTGAATTTATTTGTCTTGATGTAGGTTGGAGGGGTCTTATTTGTGCGGATCTGATTGACGATTGTTGGAACAGAGAGCCCCGCCCGATCGTTCACATCCTGCAAGGTAGCTTTGATAAGTGGGAGGGAGTTTGTCGGGCACCATGCCTCTGCAATCAGGGTTTTCCTAGCCTGGTCGTAGGAAAACTTGTTCAGAGTGTGGTAAACTCCTTTCTCCTTTTTAACAATGATCATCCAGGCAGCTAGCGAACGAGCAATTTGGGATAGTTCGGCATCTAGGGTAACTTTCGTGTTACGCAAAACACTCTCGACGTCGCCCAGACGAGTATTAACTTCATGAATTTGATCTCTTCGAAGCTCACTGTTCTCATCGACAGAGTAAAGACTTGCCCCGAGTGATTCAGCAATTTTCCTGATTTTTGCAATGATTTCCTTTCCGTGAGCAAAAATCACGAAGACATTCTTCTGGATCTCCTCGTTACTCGATGGATCGATGATCGGTTGTGGGATTTCGGATTGATTCATGTACAAATTTCCACGCAGGGCCCGCCACAAGATCCGTTCGAAGGCACCGATTCGATCGCGGGGGATAACACCAGAGACAAAACCGATATCCATGACAGAGAACGAGGGCTGATGGTGCATATCATCACCTTGCCGTCTTGGTGGATGCTGATGTTCAACATCTCGCAGGAGCGGAGCTTCGTCATTGTCTAGTGACTGTCGAATCTCGTCGGTGTGTCCATGCGCCTATCACTTGGGGTCAGTTTCGGACGCTCAATCAGCATATCGGGAGAGCGTACCCTATCAAAGAAACTGCCAGCTTCTCTCAAAACCCACCGCCACTCTATCAGTTCGACTTCTCGCTTTTTCAGCACCTCATAACTCTCGTTCAGAGAAAAAATCCTTTGTTCCAGGCTTTCGCTTCGTTGCGCGAGTTCGTCGATTTCAGATGCCATCGGGGCAGCCAGAGTATTCGCAAATTCTGAGGATGGCCTCATTTCAATGCCCTCCTTTTCCATTTGGGCATGGAAATATCCTAGATATGACCGCTGTAAGCTTCAAGTGCCGTTTAACTCATCAATCCAAGTCGAAGAACATACGGAGTTGCCGCTCGACATTGTCCAAACGCCGTATTTCGCTGGTGAACGTCCTTTGGAAAGCTGTAGTGTCGGCGTTAAGCTATGGAAGGCATCAACTTGTAAGCAACGTAATTAGCTCATACATCGCTGAGAGGAGCACTCACATCTCTGAACTGAACCAATCCTACTTCGCCGAGAGCACTGACGACCTCTCTCCCGATTTCATTCGCAATGTACAGTTGGGTCAGGCTCATATCCGCAGAGCGGAGGAGCGTATCTTGAGGGGGACCCATCCTCGCTAGAAGACGTCACCAGCTCAACGGCAGGGCATAGGAGAACGTGAAAGGGGTGAAAACAAAGCAAGGTAACAAGAGAATAAAGACAAGTGTAGCTAGGGTATTATACGGCGATAATCCCTTTGCTGTTGCTGAGGGACGATGTCCGTGATGCTCATACGGAATGCTGGCGGGTATCTCGATGCTTCGTCGACTTCGGTGGTCGTTGGACTGGTCACGTGAAACCAAAGGCGCAGATGGATCCATCAGCACGGGCTTGAGAAGCTTCTGCAACTTCAAACAGCGTGCGGTCAAGGAAACCAAAATTTGAGATTGCCATTAATGAATGATTGGGAACCTTACAGACACCCAGATTTCAAGGGTCATAGTATTTGCATACAAAGTCTGTTCGGAAGCCCCTGAGCACACATCTTGTTGCTTTTTACATGAGAACCCGTTGGCAGCACTTTCAGATCGTCCGTTTGACACGCCTCGAGATATGATGTTACCAGGAGAGACCAACTTAGGTCCAAATAGGATGTGATCCCAATTTATTGTGAATGGAAACTCACCACTATTTGTATGAAATGTTTTATAATTGATCACTGGTGGTGATCCCCCGGTTCATAATCTCTTTCATATATCTAATGCCCCATTTTCAGCATCACTGAGAAGGAATCTAGTCATTTAACCTGCTCCCAGAGAAACCACTCAGCAGATTTTTGTATCAGTCAAAGATTGTGCTATGAGTGAGACTCTTTTCATACCTTCACTCATAGATGATGCTACCATGCTCTAATATTCCGCCGGAAGCGGTATTATCGAGAGCTCGGGTTCGCTTCAGAGTGAGATGCGGAACCGCGGGGCTTCCTGTATACACCCTGCATCCTGGTCTCACTAGTTACTCATATTTAGTTCCGCCCACCATATTATAGTCGCTCCTCTCACTCATACATCCATAGTCAATGCCTATCACTTCAATCCCCCGAGGAAGTATTCAAGTCACAGCGATATCCCATCTTCTCTCAAACAAAGTACATACATAGTTACATACAGGGTACATCCAAAACAATGTCTGTCCTCAGCGTCTCCCTCTCCTCTACCCACTCCTTCTCTAAACCCCCAGTTCCCTCCATCACCCTTCTCCCCAACCTCGGTGTCCAGGGCGACGTCCACGCCGGCACCACCGTGCAACACCTCTCCCGAAAACACATCCAGCCCCCTCCACTCAACCTCCGCCAAGTTCACCTCATCCACGCGGAAGTCCTCTCCCAAGCTACTGCTTCCACGGACATCCCGCTCAAGCCGGGGCAACTAGGAGAAAACATCACCACCACGGGAATAAACCTGTTGTCCCTCGGTAAGGGGACAAAGCTCCGTTTCGTGGGCGAAGAGAAACCGGATGACCATGATGATGCCCCTGTGGTGATGGTGACTGGGCTGCGCAACCCATGTCCGCAAATTGATAAGTTTCAGGCGGGCCTGAAGGAGAAGTTCGTGGTGCGCGATGCGCAGCGGAAGATTGTTCAGCGCAAAGCGGGGATTATGGGGGTCGTGGAAGTCGGTGGTGAGGTGAAACCGGGTATGAGAATTGTGGTGGAGAAGCCTGCGGTTCATGAACCGTTGGAGTGTGTTTGAGTGGTGATGTGAATAATATCGATGTTTGAAGCGCATATAGGCAGTTGCGAAACGAGATACCCGGGGGACATTTTTCAGTTATCTACTGATGACCTGGTACCAGTACGTATAGAAGGTGGATCAATACATAATCCTGATGCCTCCAGCGTACCTTACTGGTATATAGCAAATTCGGGGAACGAAGTAAAAGGCAACCTTTTGCCGTGAGCTCTTGATCCGCTGAGTACATGTTTTCATTGATGAGCGGGATTTTATTGATTATACTATTCGAGCCCAAGAAACTTCATATAGATGAACTCGAGTCCTTGCAACTGGCTGAGAGTAACTAACGGTCCAGATGTTGGTGACCAGATTCGCCCTAAAAGCATTAAAAAAATACCTAGAAAGTCGCAAAATGCACATATAGTCCTTTTCAATGTTGAAACCATAAACCTGTCGTAAAAGCATCGTCTGTAATATGGAATTTTTAAATCTCAAATCAGCCGGATTGATACATTCATGCAAAATAACTCTTCCACAAAACACCGGCCAAGTCTTCAACTTGATCAGGTTCAAAAGCCTAGATTGGGATAACTTGTGAGCAAGGTGAAAACATACAGTTCAGTGGGAGCTGACGATACTCACCTTCACATCGATATGCCATGTATCTTGTCTCGTCTTCTTGAATTCACTGATGATAGACTTTACGCTCTGGCCGACAATACCCGGGTCACCAGCCGCTTTGGTGCTTAATGTAATCAATACACCGGGCATCCATGGCGGAGGTGGACTAGTATAGGGGAATGCCTGGATCAGTGCACCAAGTCCGAGAACTGCAGCATGTCTTGTGATAACTAAACGAGTATGTTCAGGGGTCGGCGTGCTGGTGCCAGTTGAAGTCGCGGATGAAAATCCAGATGTATAAATGCGCGGCTTTTTGGGCAAAGGATGTTGAATCAGAGATTTAGTGAATCGATCACGAAGTTTCAAAACCATCTCATTTCGAAGAGCAACGGGGGAACAGCGAATCATCCCAGACAATGTCGCAGAAGCACCCGCTCGCACCTCGTGCTGCGGGTCCTCAAGCATGTTTGCAACGCAATCAAAAAGCTTTTCACGGTCAACCTTGGAAAGGAGGAACAAACGCCGGAAGTAAATAATTTGCATATTGATCATGACACGCAACCGCTGATGCCACGACTGGGATGTACGACCAATTCGAATAAGAGTATCAACGAACTCCGAGTCTTCTCCAGCAGGGTGTGGAACGTTCGGCAGATGTCTGAATACATGGTATGCCAGTGACTGAAGTTCAGGGTCCTCTTTCACATCCATCATATGCAGAAGCTGTTCAATGAAAAGCTGGGGGAAGAAGGGGAGCAGTTGAGTGCATTCATAAGACGAAAGTGTGCCATCAAGCCAGAGGAGAACAGTCTTGCAGCCAGAAGTGTAAGATGAAGGGGTTTGTTGGCCAGGAGTCCTTTCATGACGCCACTTTTCAAGGCGATTGAAGACGCCATAGACCATATTTGAAAACTCTTTGGTGGGTTGATAGGCACGGCTACCAATAGAAGATGCCTCTTTTTGAGAGATGATCAGCTTATCGATATCAGGATAAGATTCATGGTATCTTGTGCGGAAGATAGATGCTAACGTCCGGCCAACCGCATCACGTACTCCTTTATATGGATGGTCAAGATGCGAAAGGAAGTCTTCCACTATCGGCTTTTCGAGCTGGAAGTGCCAGCCAGCATCCAAGATACATTGGTGAAGCAAATTGATCTTAGAACTTTCTTTAAACGCTGCGTTGGAGCTCATATCAAGTCGGAAACTGGCGAGCCAATCTATCAACGGCCAGGCTCTTCGTGGATCTCGACATTGGAAGATCATATGGACAAATTGAGTCCAGTATGATGAGTTTTCCGGAGTTAATCCGTCCGAGAATATCTTCTGAATGATTGGAAAAGCATATTCCCATACTTTTGTACGTCGCTCCACACTGCTGTCTGCAACTGACCCTATCAACGCCGCCAGGATTTCTGCGGTTGCGCGATGTTGATGTTTGTCGCTACCATCTTCGAAAACAGCAGCGATTTCTTCCTTTATCTCTTCAAATGTCGCTTTTGTGAGATCATCGCGAGTCATAAGTTGAAAAACATAGAGCAGAGTCATCGCGCTGGACATGCGGAACTTATCCGCCGAAACATCCCTTGGCTCTTGCTTCAAATAGCCAAAGAAGGCAGAAAACCACCGGCGGTCAAATAGACTGCCCATACATTTCCGAACATCCCATTCAAGGTCGTCATATTGGAGATCGCGCGTCATATTTGGCTTGTACGCCGGCATCGTCTTATCCCAAACCAGCCAACCAGGGTTTTCGTGGTCCACATAATATTCAGCATCCGGTTTGGCAAAGCTAGCAAGGAAATCTTCAGTCCAATGTGGATCCTCTCGTTTTGTGGCAACCTGGATCTTCGCAGGATAATACTGCTTTCCCAGGATATAATCTTCATACTTATGGCTGCATGCTGCTCTGACATCAATCATTGTGAAGATGGCAACCATTGTTTGTGAATACATCCCTCTTAGACCGGGGTGGGAATCGATTGCGCCAGACACTATGAGATTGATAAGATTCTCACTTGCCACGTTGTCGAAGCGTAAGCCCATGCCAATAACGATGGCAGCCGTGCGGCTGGCTTTTTTCCAGTGAGACTCCCTTGCCAGATTCACAAGTTCATCTGCCAAATCGGCCTTTTTGCTCTCAATTAAAATGCGCTTCTTTTGGAGGCTTTCTTTCTTCTTCGCAATAAGGTCGTCAACGCTTTCTGCGGGAGCAATGGAACCGATAATATCCTTATCAAGGATAGCCATCCTGTCCGTATCGCGCCCATATTCAATAATTTGGTACAGTGCACTGTTGCAAACCTTCTGTACCGATGGCTTATCGACCGCGCTCGCCTCAATAAACAGCCTGATCAGTGATGGCGTATATTTCCAGTGACGACCTAATGTTTTGGCTAAGCTGCTATAAAGCAGTGAGTACAGCGCCCCTTTTATGCGAGGGTGGTCGTTTTGTTTTATGGCAGTCTGCAAGGCTTGAATAAGTGGCGGGATGATAAGAAGACGTGAGCCCCAAACTGCTTTGAGAGCCGATTCACCAGCGGCCTGTGCATTTCTCCTAATGTCGGTATACAAGGAGACGCTCGACTCTGCTAGGTCCAGCAATAGCGTTTCATCTAGCTTAGATCGTGGCCGAGGAGCTGCATTGTGTCGAAGTCTTTGCCAATGGTATACATTGGCGCGGCGAACAAGGAGGGGACGTGGGTAGTCTTTCCTGACGCCACTCATCTTGTAAGGATAAGCGTCAGCAGATAACAACTTGGTGACCCGGTCAAGTACGTGTGCAGATCTTTCGATCCCGACATCCACAAACCATGAGCGATAGGCGGTATATAGGGGCGAAAAGCATGAAACGTCGTCTTCCTGCTTTTCAACCAAAAACCTATGCACATTATGCAGCACTTGCCCAATTCGCTCCCTAATATCGTGTAGCTTAATACAGAGTGGATCATCATCCGTCAGACTATACCCGGTTGGATAAGTGAAGGTACGTCTAATCGTTGCTTCATCCGAGGTATCAAGGGCTGAATCCGGATCGCTCTGTTGAAGAAGCTCACCGGAGTCGTCCGCATCAGCCATATCGACATCGGAATCTGCCGACTTGTTACTGGAGGCAATGCGGTTATTGAACAGTGCGGAGATGCCTGAGATGATCAATCGAAGAAGTATGATATTCCTCGTTACCTCATCGGACCAATCCTTGCCGCTCCCATCTCGTTTGATTCTTGAGTTTTCACTAGTCAAGTTCGTGAGTTGTTCCAACGCATTCTCGCTCTGAGATGTGAATAGTTCCACGGCAAATTCAATCTCTCCCCGCTGTGGAACATGCCATTTAATAGTGAGCTCTTTGGGATCCTGTCTCTGGCCCCATTGCTCTACTTGAATCCCTCGCTCAATAATGGACGGCTCGTACAGCGCATGATCGACGGTACATGTCACAGTAAGGTTCAAGAGAAGGTGATGAATGAAATTCGAGATATGGATCGTCGGGATACCTTTGCATTTCTTTTGCATGTACAGGGCAATGCCGATGAGTTCTTGCTTGTATTTCAAAACCTCACTGCCGACATGTACGACGCACATGCTAAGCATGCTGACATTCCAAACGAGACCACGGTCACGGGGAAGGACATCAGAACCAGTCGTTCTCGTAGACGCCGCTCCATTCTCATCAATTTCAGTACGGATCGATCGAATCAACAGTGGTATAAATCGCTTCAGAGCCTTTTCAGGGTTCACCTTACAAAGTGCATTGCAAATAAATGCCACAGCATCTCGAGCTTGGTGAATAACATGCTCAGCCACAAAGTCGACAATTTTATGCAGGGCAACGTCATATAATTCTGGAGATAGGGAAGCAAGGAGCGGTGTAAAAGTTGCGGGTAAAGTATTTAGGACATTCTCCTCGGGGGAGCCACTGCGGACTCGCGCTGCATCGGGAAGGTTTTCCAGCAGAGTGAAAACTCTACCAAGGAAGGATATTAAGAACTCTCCGAAACCTGTGGTCGATGATCGCAATATCCTCTCTTCCACTTCGTCACTAAGATCGGTGTCATAGTTCATCTCGACAGCGGCACCTTCTTCTTCCATTCGTTCAAGTTCTCCGGTGATCCATTGCATTGCTAACATATTCCCGTTGACATCCTCCCGTCCTTGGGTAAGGTCTTCAAACGGGATGTTGTAGCATACAGACTGAATGAAAGCCAAGGAATGGAGAGACTTCTCAAGGTCGTTTGCATCGATGCCAGGCAATGCCAGGCCGAGTAAAGTTGTAATGTGGCAACGGAATCCCTTTGTTCGAATCATAATCTTTGATAGGACTTGAAGAGATCGAAGAGAAGACGTAGTCCGGTGGACTTCAACCAAGCCTTGCATAGAGGGATATATCCGCTGCAAAGCTCCTGGAAGTATCAAACCAGGCTCCAAATATGCCAAGCTCTGGAGCGTAGCCAGTGAGAAATTCATGGCGGTTCCGCTCTTCGAGTATATTCCCATAAACGTGACTTCTCGCAGACACAAGACAAAACGGTGTTTAATGGCATCATTCAACTTCCTCTCAGCGGGGACCTGTATTTCACCGTTCCTTTCCCGGTTCCAGCGCATCACAAAGAAATCCGCAAGGTAGTTGATTAGTTGCGAAAGACCTTTCGACCACGCTCCCGCATTTGACGGGTGGAAGAACGTCTCCACTGCTTGTATCAAACCTTCAAGCAGGCTAAGAATTGATTCACTTGCATCCACACAAGCAGGTGAAAGGGACATAACAATTAACCTCGCGATGTGATGGGCAACTGGGTGGCCTCTCGAGTCTCTATCAAGCATAATACCAAGTCCCGCGGACAGATCAACTACAGCACTGTATGAAGAGGTTGCTTGACCCACAGGGATCTCAAGGAGTCTCAAGATTGCTGTGAATATCAGGGAGGTCTGCTCAGAGGTAAGAATACCAAATTCTGAGAATGAAACATAATTGGCGGGTAGCCAATCCCGAGCTAATCGCGACAACAGGTCTAGGAAATTGACGTCAAAGGTCCTGGATCGGTTTACTGTGGACCAAAGGTGGAAGTAAGTGGGGAGATAGTGCTGCGGGTACAGATCGGTTCTGTCTTCTGGGCCGGGTGAAGTGGGTAAAAACAGGTTCATCAAGCCAACCACAACGAATGCTCCCTCCGTGAACGAGGTGGTGAAGTGAGGAAGAAATTCTTCTAACATTGCCGGGATCTCAAGGGGGTCAAAATAAAGTTGTGCAAAGGCACACAGTTTCGTCAACGTTTTTATATTACGTTTTGAACTCGTCGAATGCACCAGTTCTGATTCAGAAGGAAGAACGAACACTTTTATTTCTCGATAGAGGGGTTTCCAGTCCAGCATAATATCCTTGACCGGACGCAAATAGTGCTTTCTCCTACTGCGCATTAGTATCCACGACATATTACGACTTTACGTCCATGGTGACGTACTTTGTGAGAACCATGAACATGCTAGCAAAGCGCTCCGAAACGGCAGCCTCGACGCCAGGCGCTAGGGTAAGCTCGTAGTAAAGCTTAACAAGCTTCGCTCGCTGCTCCCGGGTTGGGTCGAATTTCAGAGAAAGCCAGGCTCGCAGTTCTCGAGTCCAGTGGACAGCGCCAGGGTTGAAATCGCCAGACTGAACGGCAATGTACAGATATTTGAGGATCTCATCCAGATTCTGTTGTCGCTGGGCCTCATCTTCAACCTTGTAGGGAAGGTATTTGAAATAGGGGTACGTCCGCGGCCGGCTCCGAGCTTTTTTGGTTGGATCTTCGAGACTGTTCATGTTGGACTCGGGCGGTCCGCCGCCGGGCGAGGTAGCGCGAGAGAGCTCGTGAGTGTGGGGTGCGGTAGCGGTCGTCAGGAGAACTGGCAAGCGCTGGTTTGAATGGTCCATTTTCAAACTTTATATAAAAGAGGAGGGAGGAGGAGGGAAGAGAGGTCGGTTAGGTAAACGGAATTCTATGTCAACGATGGGCGGGGATTAGCACGCGACGGGGCTTCGCCTTTTTAATTTCATGGCAGCTCAAGGCGGGATGCCAGAACCGAGCTGCCAGAAGGTGCATTTATGAGCGGAAGTGCTTACTCTGAGTATGCAACCACCTTTGCAATCGCCCGCAATGGTGTGATGAGGATGCTGTCAATGAGGTCGACGGTGTCCTTGTCCACATTGAAGGGTTGAAAAAAAAGGATCAAAGTGAAAGTGATACAGTGTAAACACAAGCTGGTAAGAACAAACGGAGGGATATCGCGAATTTATTTTTTTTCTTTTATATTATAATGAAGAACCCTTTCTGATTGATAATCATAACAGCCCAGCGATCATGATAGCCGCCAACCTTTCCTGTAACGTTGCAGGACGTCCGCGCGAGGGATCCGACGTCCAAGCTTCACATTGGAGCTCCGTTGATGTCGACATGCGCCGTCTTGGCAGGTGGCAGTACAAACTGGGAAGCCCAAAAAGCAGCTGACCCACGCGCGCCCCCGGAACATCAGTAACGCCGGCTCTCTCACCGCGTCACCGTCTGCTGCCTGCTCGCAAACGCCGCTAATTGGGTTCGATGGGCGCTGAAAGGGGCAGCAAACGGATGTCCTAGCACTACGTATCTATGGATGCTGGGAAGCAGAGATCGTCTCGAGCGCGTGAACTGTTTGGTCACAATCCTTTTGCAATGTATGTACTGTTACAAGCCGAAGCGATGATGCAGGTCTAAAGGATCTCAAAACAGCAAAGTATGAAACAGGATCACGCTGGTGGCAAGAAAGAAGCAAACAGCGAGGCTTGAATAACCCCGTACAGCACCATCCCACATAATACATGTCCGGGCTTTGCAAACCAAGACCCCCGAAACCCCGGCTTTCCCTCTCGGAGAAGAGACGACGCCAACCACCAATACCATAAGGGATAGCCAGACGCGATACGGTTGATTATTTGGACATGGTAGCTCGTCAACGCTAGCAGTGCAAGAGTTGCCTGAGGCAGAGCAAGCCGAGCGAGGCAGGCTTGAGTAAGCTCATTTTCAGAATTGACCTTGGGTTGTTCATCGTTGACGTCCGTTGCAATCGATTGGCTTCGTGAGCTCACAGCCCAACCAGAGGAGTAGAATAAGATAAGAAGCATCGGACCTGCGATCAGGAAGAGTGGTATATTCGAGATAGTCCAATATCTTAGAAAGCCAACGTTCCTGTAGTTAAAAAGTAAGTACATAAAAAAAAAGAAAAAAAGAAAAGAAAAGGTGCGAGCTGGGTAAGGTGTACCAGTAATAGCTTTGAACCCAAGTGTATATACTCGGGAACAATCTGACGCACCACTCTCGCGGTGACGCCGATGGCTGACAATAAAGCGAGTAGGCAAGGTACTGAGGTCCAACGGCCCCAACCAGGACCATAGCACCTCCGAGTACAACGAACGTAAGCCGGCGCAGCCCAGCTAATTTGCCGCTCCGAGCCTGTATGATTTCGACTAATGCCGGGGTTGCATCGTACGCAAAAAGCATCCCGCTCAGGATGCCATTGCTTCGTACGGTCGTAGCGAGTGCGAAGACACACCCAGCAGCAACGAACTTGAGGTCTCTCACCAGGAGAGAGCCGCTTCGGTCATCCTTCAGGGCCTGCACATAAACGTAGAAGCCTAGGAAATTGAGAAATGAGAAAAGAGCTTCGCTATAGGGTGCGGACAGAAAGGCGCCTGCCGGGCAGACAATGTGCAAAGCCGCCGAGAGGAAAGGCAAAGAATTGCCATATTTGTGTCTCTCGCCAAAAATAGCTTTGCTCAAGCCATAGAGCAGCAATACGGATAAGTAGTGGCATATGTGTGAGAGCCCAATGCCTACTAAAGCCAGATGTAAGACTTCACGTGGCGTTCCTGGAGTTCTTGGGGGTCAGCAGGGCGTCCGAATTTCATTGGGACCACGAAGGAAGATCCAACCAGCTGACAAGGCTGACAACAACTTTGTATAGCCGTAGCCCCAAGCCCACTCCTGTTCATAGAGATACCCTCGCTGGGCGACATTCAAAAAATATATCGAATCCCATCTCGCCAATTTCAAGAAACTGGCGGATTGGGACGCAGGGGGAGTGGGTGATAGAATTGTTGTGGACGTATCATATCCTGGGCCGGGGCTGGCCAGCATGACCGCAAGCAACAGGAACTTCCACAGGCAGAACCATAACGTCAATGTCCGCACGGGGTGAGCCGTCATGGCGCGATGCGGCGAGAGATAACAAACGACGAGCGGGGGGAAGACGACGGATTTGGAGTTGCAGGATCCATGGCGGACAGCTCCGTCACCACCAAAGTCAATCACGCTCCTCAAAGCTTCCTGTGCTTAGCGCATGCCAAGCCGCAAGCCACGCCGTCACTTTAACTAGTTACATAGGCCCATGACAGATTAGGTATCCTGTGCGCGACGGGCGGGCTGCGTTTCGGGGCCCGAGGACATGTCGGCGACCTTTTGTTGGTCGATGAAACAGTTTATACTCATGTTCTCAGCCAGCGAAATTCGAACGGTGCCGAGCAACGCCTCGTATCTCAACGCAGCCGGCTCCCGTATCGGGGACTTCACAGTATACACATAATGGTCGGAGATAGGGGCTAGAAGTCTACGGAGCAAAGGCTAGCGAGCTAACTGCCAAGTTTTTCCAGTTTTAAAGCACGTCTGGTGAGCTGAAGATTTGGGTTTTGGGGTTCCAAAGATATCGTTTGCTGCTCATGTGCGATCGGTAGGCTGCATGAATGATCCTGGCCCCGTGTGAGCTGTAGAGGACGCCGTGTCTGTTTGGGACGGAGAAATGAGTTCATCCACGGGAGTAACTCGAAACGCCGCTGACGGAGGCGCATTGAACAAATTGGGGGGGGAGGGGTGCTAAATCGCGCCCAGATCGTGTACAAAGTACTCCGTCGCTTCACGTAAAAATAGCACAGGAATTCTGGAAGCTCCCGTGGGTCTGTTGCACTATTTCTACTCTACTCCGAGATTAAAAAATGGGGCCCTGTCATCAAAGATTCAATATCAATCTCGCTTGACGTTCGTGGGGCCCGGGAAAAAAAAAAAAAAAATATTGATGCCTGGCTTTCCTGTCAAGATCCCCACAGCCAAGTCAAATCAGATCGAACGCATTTTTCGGTGTCAAAAATATAAAAAAGACTTCCCGCATGGCATCTGACCCCCCCAAGTTCCGAACCTTGGTACAGAGCAGTCGCCGCTGTCATCGGGGGGTCGGGGTTTAGATCCAGATCAAGCTGAGGTCGATGGTTGCCGGGACCTGGAAGAGCAGTAATTCCGGGGCGGGAGGCGACTTGGGCGGGACCGCTGCGGGCTGGGAAGTCGGCATCTTGTTCTCCGAGCGTCACGAGGAGCTGCATCCTCGGCGCCCATCGTCAGCCTTTCACCGGTCCAGAAAAAATGGACTTTTTTGAATAATACGTAGATTTTTTAAGTTGCCGAATTCAAAACCAAGCCAGGCCTGTGAATCGGCGTGTTGGCTTGTTACAAAAAAAAGAAAAAATAAAATAAAGGAGAAAGAAAGAGAGAGAGAGAGGGACATTGGGATACGGAGTATATATGAATATTTTCAGTTTTCCTCATTGCGAAGGGGAAACGGTGTGTGCTGGGCAGCCAGGCCGCCCCAACTCAACCCTAAAGAGTCAGCCGCAACAAGTCAGCCTTACGGAGTACAGAAGAGTTGGAATTTGAATGAATACAAGGTAATTTAGCGTATTCACCTTGCACGGCCTCGTTGTAATCGAAGGTACTCCGTATATGGGGTACGGAGTACCGGGAACCCAGCACCGAGTACGAGAACAAAGCCATATACGGAGTACTCGGTACGGAGTACTCCGTACATAAACTACTTATGTATTCCTTGAAGGAACGCTCACCCGAATACGACATGAAAACTCACCCGGACAAGCTCCTAAAGTCCGCCGTAGAGGGCTTCAAGTTCCTCCGTATTGGAAGAGGATGTAAATTCCAGCATTGAGCACGTAAGGCCTGCAGACAAATCCATGCAGATGGGCTTTTTTCGCACTAACCAACACCGGATCGGAGGCTCGCTCTGATTTGTTAAGCGGGCAACACAATTCGCGTGTATGTTGCGCTGATGAGCCCGCGGAACATCCATCCTCGTCGATGAAACTCGCCCGCGACGTAATCCCTCCGCCCTCTCCCGCCGGAATACCTCGTAGGACCAGCACCCAAAGCAAGGGGGACTTGAGGACGTGATGGCCTGCGTCCGTCTGATCGCTCTGTGGAACCCACCGGTGGATATGAGAGTTTGGCGCTTCCTCGTTTCGCGCGTTGCTTCTCTTGCCTGCTTGATTGCTTGTCTCTTTCCTTCATCCGCCGACTGCCGGGGTTTTTGAGGGCCCGTTTTCGGTTTCCACAATTCAAGCTCAACCTTCTTTTTCGCCTTGATGACTGACTTGACATCGTCCGTTCGCTCACCTTTCTTCTGTCTGGTTTTGCCGTTTGCTTCTCTTCCTCTCTCATCTGTCACGACAAGGCCATTCTCACATTACTATTCTTAAAAACTGAAAACACTAACCCTCTCTGCTTTTTCCTCGTCTGCGCGCTGTCCCTCGTCTGGTTGATCCCTCGTTTGGTAATCCCTCGTTCCACAGGCTTCTTGCCGTGTAACGAAGCCCGCGCCATCTACATCCAGGGTGCACACTGGCTCTTGTCAGCCAAAACTCCACAAACCTGTCAAGAGTGCGAAACACGAGAAAGATCGCCCGCCCGCCTTTCTGCTCTTCTTCAAGAGTCTTCGGTGAAGACTGCCCTAGTTCCCCGTTCTGCTCCCCGACCCCGTGCTGTGTTTATTTTATCACCCCCATAACCCCCCCTCCAAACCCCGGCGCTATCGTAGGTTGACATCCCAACGTACTTCCATTCCATATTGCTTCTCGCTATAATAAAACCCCCCTCTCTCTCTCTCTCGCCTGGTTCCTGTCTGTCCACCACGAGGCCCTCAGCCGACTCAATCTTCAATTACAGACATAACTTCCCTTGGCACGCATGTGACCGTGAAGCTAAAAGGCACAGCCTTAGCTTCATGGATTCAGCCCAACTGCGCATTCGGCACTGCTGAACTTTTTCGAAGGAGGTGTAGGGGTGTGGCCTGCTGTGTTAGGTATTACAGTTGGGGCCATAAGACAGAAACTTCGCTTCTGGTTACGATGAGAACGCTGCCTCACTCAGCGGCAAAGAGCGCGGAACAATTACTGGAAAAAGGACTCGCGGGCCGGGTGGTTCCTTGAACATATAACAGAGCTTGACTTGACCTTTGCGCCATGCTAGTCAATCTAGGGCTGACTGCTGACGCTGCTGCAATCCATCGACACGAGTTCTCCGCGCATCAGAGTGGGAGGTCCACCACCCCAACCATTTCGCAAGTTTCTAACTCGATCCTGTCTCTTGGATTTATGCCGTCTGGCGTGCGCAACTTGGTACCGGGCAACGGGGCTTCCAGACCAGCGCCTTCAGGCCGAGCGAGCCCCTCGTCTCCGCTGTCAAGCCCTCTGTCCAGCCCCAGGGACTCGGTTGAAGAGGATCGTGGCCGGACTGGAGACGATTTAGGTAATTGTAGTGAAGCAGACCAGAGCGTCCCGACAAGCCCCAGGAGAAAACATACCAATCGATCCAAAACATCATTTCGCTTCGCCCACCCCCCACCCTCAGGCCATAGACGATTAAGAATTCGACCCCGACTGCTGCTTCAGCTACAGCATGTATCGCAGACTTCCCGTCCTATTTCAGCGCTAGATGTGATCCCTTCTTCACTTTTTGGGACCCGATCCACGAGAAGAGTGTCCAACCCGCATCGAGGAAGGGATCGTATTGGGCCCAACGACCTCCTGATCATCCCCAGCGATTCCTACGGCCCGTTGGATAACGAGCAGAGAAACTCGTTCGATGTTCACGGGGATCTCGTTGCTGTGTTAGGCCAGTCCCGCAAGGAGGGCTCCAAGTCGAAGGGGCTGGTGGATATATGCATTGACCAAGGAGGTCTATGGGAAGCAACGCCGATTTCGAACAATGTATACGAGTTTACCCACACAGGCGAAAACGGGCTCCGCAAGTGCGTGCGCTGGGTACTGCGTGGGAAAGAAAACCGCAACTCCATGGGCTTGGGCGCTGGAGGTGAACAAGACGGCAAACGCTACATCTTTAGCATGATCGATCCGACCAGCCGTCGACATCCAGTGATAGCATGGATGACCAGGAACGGTATCGACGTGCTCGATCGATATTCACTCACGTCAGGGTCGACTCGCAGTCGATCAGCGAGTATCTCGGCGCCTAGTTCCAATGCCAAGCTCTCTACCCCAGTCTCCGATCGCAGTGTGACTGAAACAGAAGACTGGCTTCGCACTCTGATCATCGTGACCGGTATATGGGTTGCACTGCGAGAGGGGTGGTCGAGGTACCCGGCTTCATCGGATATAAGACACACCACACCGCGCTCTCACAGTACGAACACTCAATCGACCCAATCGCAGCAGCTACGAATGTCAGAATTTGATGGGAACGTCAGTGAAATGGGGATGGCTACGCAGACGGGGTGTCGTCTCAGCTTTCAGTCCGCTAGGGTACGGATGAGGCAGAATAGCTTGCATGTCCACACTGACCCTCCCTTCCCTGCCCATAGACAAGGGTTGAAGAGCGTTGATTCAGAAAAGCCCGCGCCACGAAAGTTTTCAAAGGAGCGTCGACGTAAACGACATCGTATCCTTTGCATGGGCAGCGAGACCTCCTCGCCCCCCGATAGCCCTCATCCTCCTGGCATACCTAGAGGGACCCCAGGACGGCCACGGGGCAGGCATCAAGGCTTGCTAGATGCGGGACTAACCGAATATGACGACCAAGATGCCGGCCATCCGTCACACGTTCCCACCTCAGGCCATTCGCCCCGGAAATCAGACTCGGCGAAGAGGCGTAGATGGTGCGGTCTAGCCTTATGGATTGATTCCGTTGGCACGAAGACGAGAAAGAAAGCACGATAGAAAACCTTCGCACTCTGAATGTCTGCGTTATAGCGTCCGTTTTCTCCCCTCTCAAACCTCCCACTCCGAGTTATTTGGGCAATTCCTTTTATGTAGCTCGAAGCTCTTTTTTGACTACACCCGCACCCTAGTGCATGTATGTACATACATACATACGTACATACTCCGTATAGATATACATAACCTATTACCAGTTGAACCTGAAAGGGAAAAAAAAAAAAAAAAGAAAAGGAATAAAAAATAAGAAAAGAAAAGTCACAGGAAGTAGGGAGTAACCACGAAGTAAAATAACATTCTCATCTCCCAGTCTTTTTGGCTTGTTGTGTTTAAAAGGGAGGAAGTTGACCGGGGACGAGTCTCTCCCCTCCAATTATTGAGTGAATCGGCAAGCCTCATCCACAGCATAAGTGCATTTTATAGGTGTCTGATTCACCGCCAAGTTCGCACGTCTCCATCGGGAATGCAATATGTAATGACGATGGACAATGTCCGTGTGACGTGCTTTCGCCGAGACGGCTGGAACCGGATGCGAGCTCCGAGGGCTAGTCAGCCTCGACTATCGAGGAAGACTAGGACATCGGCATTGTCCTCCGTACAGTAGTTGTGGACTACTCCTTGGAGGGGGTGGGTGTGTTGAGAAAAAAGCCTCTAACCGGTTGCTTTGAAGAATATTACTCCCAGCCAAATATTCTCCATGCCGTCTCTCCTTTTTGTATTTTTTAACTTTTTTATTTTTATTTTTATTTTTTTTATTTTTTTATTTTTTTTAAATTTTTACTTTAATTTAACAGCTAATTAATACCTTCTGTAAGACTCGGTTCTGGCTGGCGACAGAAAAGCAAAAGAACGACCGCAAAAAGGGGGACCGAAAAAGCACGGACACAAGGGAGGGGGGGTTGAAGGTGATCAACAGGCCAAGAGTCTGGTCTTAGCGCCGGTTTAGAGTCGCCCAGTCTGCCTCATAGCGAAACCTTAAAAAACTTTAAATTGGAAACAAAAAAAAAGGGAGACTGGAAAAAAAGGGGGGGGAGAGAGAGAGAGAGAGATTGATTGTTGGAGTGAGGGAGTGGGAGCGGGCTTCTCAAGAAACTTGGGGGGGCGGGTTGGAGGGCTGCGCTGTATGTAGAGGTAACCCTGAGTGAGGTCTTGGTTGACTTGACCACTCCCTCACAAAAACCCCCCCTGGAGACAAAGCCGAAGAGTGAGAAGATTGGCGTTGTATGACTTGGCTGAAACGGGATGGCTAGGGGGAGAACGAACGAATAGTTATGGCTGAGATTACTTAATTTTATCGGGGATCGCGCAATTGCTGCTGCTGCGTAGTGAAGATGAGAGAGAGAGAGAGAGGTCGGTGGGTGAAATTTCCCTGCCTCAACGTGCTGCTGCTGCGTCTCAACAGAAAAAAAAGAAGAAAAAGAAAAGACATCGCCAAGCGCCGATTTTGTGGGGAGCGCGCGTGGGGCTGGTCGGCTGGCAGGCTGCGAAAAGAAAAAAAAAAAAAATACATAGGGCCCTTCGACCGCGCCCGCCGTGTCCCTGTTGCGCTTTTTCTCGGCCAAGGTAAAATCATCTTCTTCTGCTCTGAAGATTGCCGGCTTTTTTTTTTTTTTTTTTTTTTTTTTTTTTTTTTTTGGGTTTTCTTCTTTTTTCTCTCCCACATTCTTCTGTTTGTGAGTTGTTTAGAAAAAAAAAGAAAGAAAAGACAGAAAAAAAAAAAAGCCAAAAGCCCTTCAATAAAGGCTCGACCTGTTCCACACTATCAACCTGCTCGACCCCACGCTGTCCATGCTTTGAGCTCCCCTCCTTTTACGGAGTACCTTTTTTTTTTTTTGCCCTTTGCTTCTCCCTCCTGAACCACTCTGCAAACCTTCTGCCGTTTTTTAGCAAAGCCAACTCTTTTCTTCGTCCAACGACGCACTTAGATGACGTTCCTGTGAGTTGTGGCTTTTTTCTTTCCGGTTCCCCGGAGTCCGGCGGCTTTGTTTTCCTCTGCCCCCTGTGCCAATCCCCATCCATAACTTCGTCCCTTATCGTGTAGTATATCTTGCACGCTTCTGTACCCTCCCGCCCTTTTTCTGTCCCCCCGTGGCCACCAAGACTCGCAAGAGGTCAAGAGGTCGGGGTTACACCTCGATACCCCTGCCTTGCCCCAGCTTTTTTAGTGTTTCGTCACCTATCCCCTTGTAAAGTTGTCATTCTCGGCGACCCTCTTCTTTGATCGTCTGTCCCTCCACACACACACCCCCCCAAGAAAACCGTATTTCGCGTTAAACGTGGCTTCTACGACGCTTGTGCTTAAGTGCATGATCCCGCCATTCTTCTTGAAACCCAAGCCAATCGAGAGATAAGCACGATTTGTTTCCGACTGGGGGGCGAAGAACACGGCTCAGACCCCGTTAACCCCCCGGATATAGGCTTCGCCGGAACGCTACTCTTGCGAAAACACTATATAGAGTGACCTGTCCCCGCCAGCGATCCATCCCTATGTCGACCTCAGGCCCGCTGAACAACAAAGAAAAGGACTACTTCAGAAACATACAAAGAATGGCTACGCCTAAAGTCCAGACGACCGTTCCAGGTACGGTTGGGTTGTTGCTATCCCCAGTCTCGTCTCGTCTCATCTCGTCATTGTCTTGTCATGACGCAGTCTTTTTTTGTTTACATGCCTCCCTTCCCTTTCTTAAAGGACCATTGTTGGGCTAACCTGTATCCAAGACGCATACCAGCAAGCTCTCGTCAGAAACAGCGAATGGGCCTCTAAAACCGTCGAGGAGCAACCTCTTCTCTTCCCTAAACTCGCGTCCGGCCAACATCCAGAGATCCTGTGGATTGGATGTGCCGACTCCCGTTGTCCGGAGACGACCGTCCTCGGTCTCCAGCCCGGTGACGTGTTCGTCCACCGCAACATCGCCAACGTTATCCAGTACAACGACCTCAGCTGTGCCAGCGTTCTCGAGTTCGCCGTCATCTACCTCAAGGTTAAGCACATCATCCTCTGCGGCCACACCTCCTGCGGTGGTGTCGCTGCCGCGCTCTCGAACAAGAAACTCGGTCTGCTGGACACCTGGCTCATGCCTCTGCGCAGACTGCGTGAGCAGAACCTGGACCTCTTCAAGAACCTAGATGCCAAAGAGGCCGCCGTGAAACTGGCGGAGATCAATGTGCACAACGGGCTGCGTGTCCTGAAAGAGAACAGCGCTGTGCTGGACGCTATTCAGGAGCGCGGGCTGAAGCTTCATGGTCTCATATATGATGTCGGAAGCGGAAAGTTGCGCGAGCTTGACACCGAGGAGCCGATGGAGGTGATCGCCAGACGGTTAACGGCATTTAGAACTGTCGCTGGTGAGATGAAATGAAGTGGGACGTACATCATAGAAATCTTATTGGGAAGGGGTGTTTCCGGGTCTTGTCAACCTTTTTTTTTTTTTTTTTTTTTGGATGAAATGTTTTTATCTGCTCTCGCTAGAGCTAGAGGATCCAGGCCATCGCTCGGCTCCGTGGGATTTCGGGCCGAAGAGATTTTTAGAGAATGTCTTTTTTTTTTTTTTGTTGGGGGGGGGGGGGTGGGTGTTTACCTTTTTAAATTGCGACGCAGATAAGGCATGAACTTATCTTCCCAGTTTTAACTAGGGATTTGGACAGTTTTGCAGTCAAAGAATAGAAGTCTGCAGTTCAGCGTTCGCAGTCTGGGGTGTCTCAGATATTTAATGATTTTGATTGTCCACATCTTTTCCCACTTCTCGAGTGGGATGGGACGTACATATTTTGATGCTCTCTCAAGTGTCACGCTAGACGTCAGGGCAAGCTGAAACCGAAGAATGCCCAAATCAAGGCGTTGACAGATGCCTCGTCGTTCGTTCTTCTGCGAGAGACCGTTCGCCTGTCTGTCTCAGGTGGGCGATAGTGTGTTTTGCATCTGCAGATTAAACTACCCATCCCCACGAGCGATGGAGCCAATCTTCTACACAGCACCCCGGCGTTGGTGCTGAGGCCAGATCTGATAAAAAGCTGCCATGTCGGCTTTGTTTTGGACATCCAAATGCCAGAGCGGATAGCATAGTCAATTTCACTCAGGCTTCGCCTAAAGCCATGACGACGACCACTTTCGGCCAACCTGGCAGAATCCTTCGGGTTGGAGTCATTGGGTAAGTCACTACGCATATCATACATACCATATATATATATATACACCCTGCACCCCAACCCATTCCGTCGTCGTGACAACAAAACTACCCCTTTTTTGAAGATGACCGTGACGATTATGACAATGACACCGCTTACCAAACCATCACCTCTAGATGCGGAGAAGTCTCCCAGGTCGTACATATCCCCAACCTGATCCTCCTCTCCGACTACTTCCGAATCACCTACATCTGCGACATCTCCTTCTCGACAATCACACACTGCAAGACCAAATTCGCTAGCCACGACTTCCGCATCACCACCAACGCGGAGGAAGTGTGTTCGTCGAAGAACGTCGACGTCGTGTTCATATGCAGCAGCGACGAGTACCATGTGCCGCACGTCGTCGCGGGCCTTCGGCATGGCAAGTTTGTGTTTGTTGAGAAGCCCATGGCGCTGTGTCTGCGGGACGTGGATTTGATCCTTGAGGCGGAGGATATGTCGCCAGGGGGCAGGGTGATGGTGGGATACATGCGTCGATATGCGAGTGTGTTCATGGATGCGGTGAGGGAGATCGGGTCCCTGGGCGAGGTTTGCTACGGTCGGGTGCGGGATATCGTGGGTCAGAATTCGACGTTTGTCGCGCAGTCTGGGACGTTTCCGAAACGATTCGGCGATTGGGATCCGAGGAACGTGAGAGCCATGAAGGATATCATGGAAGATATATTCGAGCAGGCGCTGAGGAATGAGCTGGAGCTGCCCGTCACGCCGCAGCTGATGACGATGTGGAGACACCTGGGAAGTTTGGGATCGCATGATCTAAGTGCCATGAGAGAAGCATTCGGGGGGATGCCCTTGACGGTTCTAGGGGCTTCATTATGTCCAGCGGCGGGCCCGCCTTTCTGGAAGTACGTTACCTTGTTCTATTCTCCGGGCTGTATAGGTTTTGTGGAGAACTAACGAAAAAACCCCCAATAGTGCAATATTTCAATATCCAAATTTCACCGTTTCTTACGAATCCGGCATCGATCACGTCCCACGCTTCGACGCCAGCATAGAGATATTCGGGAAATGCAAAACCATCAAGGTCTGCTACGACACCCCATACATCAAGGGCCTCCCCGTGACCATGCAGATCAAGGAAGCGCTACCGGACGGTTCGTACCGCGAATCCACGGTCCGCAAAACCTACGAAGATCCGTACGTGTTGGAGATGAAGGAGCTGTATGAATGCGTTGTTTATGAGAAGGAAGTCAAAACGAGCGCTTTGGATGCGAGAAGGGAGATTGAGATGTTCGGAATGGTCCTTAAAGCTGCTGTTCAAGCGCAGGATCAGATGAAAAATATAGCTCAAACAGGAGTTTGAAGGAGGCACCTAGATGGTGTCCTGTTTGGGGATGGTGTGCGATGACACTGTCATGAATTCTAAAAGTATTTTGAAATGCAATAACGCTTGTGCAAATGGACTCTTCCCCTAGGATCGCTGCAGGAGTTGTATCCCTTGTGAAATATCCAGCATGAATCTCCAGAGTACCTTTTCGACTTTTCAGCTTCCAAGGAGCCCTTCACGGATAATTTATTCCGCGAAAGGCACTGGAGCCCTCGCTGGCTGTTGTTGGCTTCAATTTCAAGCAATCTTGACCACGCTAGTTAGCTTGATGCCCTGCTGGCCAGCTATCGTCATTCTCCCGGCAGCGACGGAGCTCTGGTGGCTCCTCTAATACCGCAAACATGCGCCTCAGTCTCAGTTTTCGGATAGCCTGTGACTGCAAGCCTACATACATTAGGTAGTAGTTAGCTAGGTGCTAACTAATTCCTCCTTTCTTCCAATGCAAATTTAGTGGCAATCCGCGAAATGGCCAAAGCCTTTTGTCCAGACGGCACTGCTTATTCTCCTTCCAGGGGCGCATGTATTGCCACATGTACCCGTGACAGAGCTCGATGGGTGCGGTGTGGAATGCAAGATCGATATGTGGGCAGAGGAAACGAGTAGGGGCGCGCTCGCTGTCCTTGCCGGCCCACGGTCCTTTCCTGCGATTGAATGCTTGGGGCTCACTCCGATGGCACAGGAGTCGACGATTTGCCGTATTGCGGACAAGATACCCGCTATCTCATCACTCCTGAACCCAGCATCGCTGAAAACTTTTGTCTCAAGTCTACGATCCCCCAGCCGACGGATTTGGAAAAATGGACGCTCCGATTTTCGACGACCCAGAACTATTCCGTCAGAGCTGTATCTCGTCCACCAGAGCATGTTGTTTACCAGAGAATCCCGAATGGCAACTCTCGAACACCTTTTCGCAGCTACCGGATACGTCGCCGATGTCTTGGAAACGAATTGCATTGCATTCGCTTTGATGGGTGGGCTCGCCTTTCTGCTTATGGGAGGTCACCGAGGCACATGCAATGTCGACATCGCGATCGATTCCAACATGAAGGACCTTCTCCCCATCCTGGCAATTCAGCCACGGTGAGCGCTTGACAGCCCACCATCTTGTCGATGTGGCCACGCTACTAATTCAAGCTGCGAACCAAGCATATGGTGCCCTACGTTCCCGAAAATGGGCGTGATGACAGTTTTCGTGGAGGCTGGTGCACCCCACGAAGAAAACCTACCCAGTTTGAAAGTCATGGTCAACTTCATCTTTCGTGGTAAGTCTCGAAAACAGGCCCATCCTTCCACATTTTGTTGGGTTTACTCACGAAGCTCCTCGAAAAGGCTCACTTGGCGCGCCCGATGAATTGGAGCTATCATCTGGACGTTTCGCGGTCGTCCGTTTCCCAGGGCAAAGGAATTTTCCGATCTTGGATCTGGCAAATATAATGGCGAGCAAGCTGGCAGCCTTCTTTGCCAACGGGGATGAGAAAGATTTTCAAGATCTTCGCTTCCTCATCGTGAAATTCGGCGAGAGTGTGCACCAGATACAGATGCTGCTGAACAAGACCCATTGCAGGGCCTTCCTCCGCCGATGTGCCATAGTCTGGGTTCCTAATGGATCCGAGCCTCATAGCGAATTGAAGAGAATCCTTGGGCTATGATTGCAGCCAGCCATACACCGGCCCCCGTTGAGTTTGGATTATCATTATAGTGCATATTTTTGGGTTTGCATACTGGTCTTTATGGTGGTTCATCCTTTCCACTCCTTGACCAAGACTCTGTTTGATATGCGACAGTTCCGAATTTTGGACGTTATGTCAGAGTCATTCTTTTTGATCTGCAAGGACTTCCAAAAAAAGCCCATGTGGGTAACCCTGACTTCTGTATATAGCTTTCCAGTCATGTGAAGTGATTGAAGTAGATAATTCGAATGATAAGGCTATAAAGACAGAAAACCACGAAATATTTGCGCTGCATGCTCCCTGTCTTACTAGTAGCTGCACGCTCCAAAGATTCCTAACGCTCAGCTGCCAAGGGGGAAATGGTGCAAGTGTATATTGGCTTGGTCAACACCTATGATTATGCGATGTCGATCGCGAGGCTCATTGAAGCGAATGCTGACCACCTCTTTTTGGTCCAGTAAGGCCCTTCCGCCTCTTCGCCAGTTATACACTATTGTCTGCAAGGACTTAGCATATCGTATTTAATCCCATTCCACCTACAGCCAGTAATAGTTCACATAATTCACTATTGCACGACACCAGAGAGATAAGTGTCCAACTCTAGCCCTTCATCCTTGTTTATTTTCATGGGAGTGCCCTGTGGTATCGGCACCGGAGGGCTTTCGCAAGGCGCCGCGTGGATTCGACCATAACAACTCGGTGAAAAATTTCCGCGTATATTCTCGCAACTAAAAACAATATAATCAGCATTCCTACTCCAGAAACCCTGACAAGAGTTAATCGGGATAAAAATCGAAAGGGGAAAAAAAAAAAAAAAAAAGAAAAAGGTAATAAATACCGAAGCGAAAGGATTATTTCCTCCATCTTTCAATTCCATGAAAAACAGCGAATATACCAATACAACTGCAGAACAAGGAAATAACGTGTGTTAGCCTTCCGGTTACCAACAGGCCATTTTTAAATGGGGACGACACATACACCCGATTAGAGTCCATTGTACCAATTTTGTCCACTTCTTCCATGTCGGTCTGGCCCATTTTAGTTTCGCGCGCCGTCGGTATTTGCGCTCTAAGCGGAACTGCTGCTTCGGAGATAGTTTGGATACGTCTGGGGGCCAGGTGCGTTTGGCTTTGTAGGGGCTTGTATATGCGTCATTGGGGTTCTCCGAGGAGTAAGGGGAGGTGCTGAAGTGGGATTGGGTGAGGGGGAATGGTTGTGAATTGTTATTGGAATGTTGAGGGCGGCAGGGAAATGTGCGGAGGTGAAGGAGAGGGGAGACAATGGCGGAGGAGTGGTGGCGGCGGAAGGTGAAAGAGAGCGGTTTTGTCCACTGGATGTCCTCATTATTAGTGTTTGCAGCTTTGAAATGAAAAGAAAACTTCGAGGGCCAGTTGCATAATGGGATTAAGATCGCATACCGAACTCGCGTCAGTTCGTGTCCATACTGGTAGCCGAAACTGTGACCGGCACGCGCTCCTGCAAACTGCCGTTGCAGAAGAGGCTGCGAGGGACATATTGCTATCTTAAATCGAAATGTATATCCCTGCTGTAATTGCTCAATGGAAGAAGAAGAAGAAGAAGAAGAAGGGAAAAGTTGGCTATGAATGGCGATATTCCTCCCTCCAGATCAGAGCAGAGCAAAAAGCGTCAACGGCGGACGAATTTTGGGCGCAAAGAGCTCCGATTGGTCTGCATGCCAAGACTGCGCTCATTGGTCCGCACCATACTCTCCGCTCCTCCCCTCGCTCTCGTCTCGTCTCGTCTCTCCTCTCCGCTACACTTCGGGCGAAAGTAGTCCATGTTCAGAGAGTTGGCGCTCCGAGGACATGGTTATTCGCAGGCGTGGATGGATCCAGACCACCTCGGAAGGTATCTAAGGTCCTAGAAATAGCGCAATCAACGTATCGACACTCAATACGCCACAGCTTGCTCCCAAATTTACAGAGACTGGAGAACACAAGCCCACAACAGATACCGGAGAAAATGATAAACGACTCGTGATTGTTTTACGTCTGGTTACGTGGATTCGTCCCTGATTCTTGACATCACCCGAAAGGAATTTGTTCCAGCCAACGGAGTATAAAGTAGAAATCACATGAAATGGGCTTAATTTCCGGGAGAAATCTAGAGATTTAACGGAGATCTGCCGCAAGTCTAAATACTCCGTTATAACCAGTAGCCGGAGCTACTGGTGCACCTCAAGGGACACGGAGCAAAGTTGGGATGGACTGAGATCGAGTACCTGCATCGAGAGCCCATTGACAACTGGGCGGAATACATTTGCTTCGGAGGACGCATGTTAACAAAGACACAGTTCCCATGCCGAAAACCAACAAAGGCGCCGCGTCGGCAGCGTCGGGCCAGCAGGCGTGCGCGGCGTGAAGCACAAGCACGCGCGGGAGGCTTTCACATGCATTTCGCTGTCGAATTTGAGTTTGCACGTGATGCGCTAGGCACGGATCAATGATTGTCCATAAGCCTCGGCAGGACTGGGGTGGCTGACCAAGCACCACCTCCTCCGTCGAGAAACATCCATATAAAGAAGAACCGGGAACCCGAGCATCATTGCTCCCACTCCCACTCCCCCTGCCCACCGTCACCCGCGTTATTGTCCTTGTTACTGAGACATATTAGCATTTGCTCTTTTTTGAGGCATATTTTGAAATAGACCTCAAACATTTAGATCGCCATGTCTCAAGGTAAGCTCTCCCCCACGTCATCTCCCCATGCCTTTTTTCTGACAAGGTGCGCTGACATGTGATCGGTTTTCGCAGCTGCACAACGTCTCTCACAGGTCGCTTCGCATATGACCTCCACCAAAGGAGGCGTTTCTGCGCTGACCGCCAAACACCCCGATGATATCGTTGTGACATGCGCCCTCCGAACGGCCATCACCAAAGGTGGCCGTGGCGGTTTCAAGGATACTGCCGCCGCCGACCTCTTGGCCGGTGTTTTCAAAGCCGTGATTGAGAAGTCCAACATTGACCCCGCGCTCGTGGAAGATATTGCGGTCGGATCCGTTCTTGCGCCTGGCGGTGGTGCTACTGAGTTCCGTGCTGCTGCTCTTGTTGCTGGATTCCCAGAAGGAACCGCCGTCAAGGCTCTGAACAGACAATGCTCCAGTGGATTGCAGGCGATCGTTGATATCGCAAATGCCGTGAAGGCTGGTGTTATTGAAGTCGGTATTGGTGCTGGTGTTGAGAGCATGTCTTCGCAGTATGGGTAAGTATTTGTTCGAGCTTCATTAAAAAAAGAAAAAGAAAAAAGAAAAAAAGAAAGAGAGAATGGTACTGATATAATTCAAAAGACCCGGAGCTGTCTCTGAGTTCTCCGATCTCCTAGAGAGCCACACTGAATCTGCCAACTGCAAAGTCCCCATGGGTATCTTATCAGAGCAAATGGCCAAGGACCTCAAGATCAGCCGTGCTGAGCAAGATGTCTTCGCCGCCTCTTCTTACCAAAAGGCCGAAAAGGCTCAAAAGGAGGGTCTGTTCAATGAAGAAATCGTCCCTCTGACCGTCAAGGTTACCGACCCCAAAACCAACGAGGAAAAGACCGTCGTTGTCAACCGCGACGATGGCGTCAGAGCCGGCATGACTCCCGAATCCCTTGCTAAGATCAGACCCGCTTTCGCAAAGGATGGCTCCATCCACGCCGGAAACTCTTCCCAGATCTCCGACGGTGCTGCCGCCGTTCTCCTCATGAAACGCTCCACTGCTGAGAGACTCGGCCAGAAGATCATCGGCAAGTACGTTACCGCCAGCGTTGTCGGCGTGAAGCCGCTCCTCATGGGTATGGGTCCATGGAAGGCCATCCCCGTTGCCTTGGAGAAGGCCGGTATCACCAAGAACGATGTTGATATCTACGAGATCAACGAGGCCTTTGCTTCCCAGTGCTTGTGGTGTGCCAAGGAGCTCGGTTTGCCCATGGAGAAGGTTAACCCCAAGGGTGGTGCTATCGCCTTTGGTCACCCGCTGGGATGCACTGGATCTAGACAGGTCAGCACATTGTTGACTGAATTGAGAAGAACGGGCAAGAAAGTCGGAGTGACTAGCATGTGCGTTGGAACTGGTATGGGTATGGCGGCTGTCTGGGTCGCCGAGTAAAAAGCTCCGTTGATGAGATAATGACTCTTGTTCGGCTCTTTTAAGATTTCTTTGCATTTCGTCTCCTTTGCACATTATGAGCATGCAACCTTGTATCCCTACCTCTAGGGCGTTTTTATTGTATATTACTTGTTTATTGGTATAAGGGATAAATAACCAGGATATTTACATATTTACATACAGTCCTATGTTTACGCTCCTCGATGCTTTTTGAAGGCGTCAAATACAGTACAGCCATTCAATACATCTTCCTTGACCCGGTCATCAGCTTCGACAAGTTTCGGCATTAACGCCAGAACGTCGTCGAGCAAGTTCTGCGGAATTACCACGACTCCTTCAAGTGGATCACAAAATGCGATGTCACCCTAAACATAGAGTATCAATCACCAACGTGAAGAGTTCACAAGGGAAAAGGATTTGGGGAAAGCCCTACCGGCGAAACTGCGACACCACTAACAGAAATCGGTACATTTCGTGCACCAGGTTTGGCTTCAGCACCCGTGCCAACGGTGGACTGACCGCGCGCCCATATCTATATATGTATTCGGGTATAAGAATTTCATAGAATGCAATCGTGGCACCGAAAACCTTGTCAGAGAGACGCCGATACATACCGGTAGCCCACTTGCTTTCAGTTCAGCCATATCCCTCACCCTTCCGTTAACGATTACTCCTTTGGCACCGATAACGCTCATCCTCGCGGCCATGATTCCGCCGAGAACAGCACATTTTTGGCCTTCGGGCTGATCAAGCAGGACGATGGTGTCGCGCTGGGTGTGATCTACCCAGTGCGTGGCTTCGGGAAAGCCGTGACGCTCCGGGTCTTGTTGTGCGATGTGGAGGGAGGGTTGGGCTTTGGGGATGAACTGAACGGTGGAGATGGGAGCGATAGTCTTAGAGGACGTTGAAGATGGGGAGAGGATGAGAGGACCTTTCGTGTTTAAAGAGGAGAATTAGATGAATTGGATTAGTTACTTGGTTCGTGTGGGCCTGGAGGAATGGGGCAGTTGTTTTGGACAAGAGGGTTGAACTCGCCACACATGGCGGGTATAACTGAGCTCACCAAGGTCGGCTAGGAAGCCTCCGTGTGCGGGTGCACCCTTGGGCACTTTCTCTACTTTCATAAGGGCGTCAGATACCTGTGAGATATGTATTAGCATGGGTATCAATGGATGGGTTTTTGGGGTTAGGAGAGGACGGCTACTGCGCACATCGCACGCGGAGAATTGCTGCAGGATTGCAAGCTTTTCCTCCGTGACTGTGGACATTGTGCAGGGAACGAATAAAGATAGGGCCTCCGCGATCCTTTTTTAGAATACAACTGCCTAAGGATTGATCTTCTAGTCAGGGCTGAGTTGTATTCTTCATGATCCGCCGCATGAAGAGTGGAATGTTGCCTATGCCGGAGCCCCACCGACGTCACTCAACCGCCGCAGCGATGAATCCCATTGGGGCGCTTTCAAGATATGTAAGGAGAAGAAAAAGGGACTCTCCGCCATGTCAGAAAGACATCAATCTCGCCGCTCAAGGACGCCCAATAACCGTGGGCTGTTCTCGCTGGGCAGCGCGCTGTTGCTGCTCAAGGTGCGTATCTCTTTGAGGCGTGGGTGACTCAGCAAACACCGCCGATCAAGCCTCGACGACGACACAGCTTGGGCACAACAGACAGACAATGAACTTCCGCTGTTGAAAACCAACTCGGGGTCAGATCAGATCATTGTTTCAGCGGCAGAGCTCGGACGCGAAAGAGCATTCTGATCTTAGCCTGCGGCTTTTACCTCTCATAAAAGCTCAGGCCATCCAGAACAAGCTTTGCCCCATGTTCCATATCAGTCCCTGCATCAAAAGCCATTTGTTATCTTTTCGCCTGGGCGTGTCATGGAACTCATATATGCAATCCAAACAGTTCATGAACCCCAAAATATCTCGTCCCAAGTGGGTCCCGCAAAATGCGCTTCATCGAAGACAAAAGAAAGACCCAACAGCAGCTCTTTGTACTGTGCGTTTGTTGAGGTATAATACGCTGTGACCCCGGATTCGGCTCCCCCGAAGAAGAAAATTTTCCTTTTCTCCTCACCAGTTGTGGATATCAAACATGTTTTACATTGACGCAAGGAGCATGAAGAACGCCAATGTTATCATCGCTTTCTGCGGTGTTTCCTCCCCTGTTAACAGCTTTTAAATGTTGGTGCAAGTGGTTATCCATGGAGCCAGATGAGAGCTTAGTTTGGCAGCTCCCTTAGCTCTGCTTCATGATGCGGCTTTGTCGAATAGATCCATGGGCGGCTAGTAGAGAGAGAGAAAGAGAGAGAGAGAGCGTGATAATTTGCTTAAGGATGGTCAACCTGAGGTGCATCGCGTATGTACGGTGCCAATGCTATTGGGAGCTATCCTGCAGGTTGTCCGGTGTCAGTGGGACTTCGTTTCCAGGTGGCATCAATCTGTGTTCTCATCAGACAATATACTCGCGTTTGCCAACCTTTTCTAAGTCTTGGGGGTAATCTTCTAACTGAATAGGAACGTACCTCATAGGGCTCGATGAAAATACCGCAGCACGAATGTGGACCCGTATCAACCTACTACCATGTTCACACTCGGAGGCTTGATGACTGCCAAGGTAGTGGAAGGGCACATTGGAGACGGCTTGGGTGCTTTCTTTGCAAATCCTTTCTCGACAATCTTACCTGTTTCACGGATCATGCGTATTCCCTGAGGATATATATTCTAGGATATTTACTCGCTTTCCAAGCCCTCTCTCCTCAACTCCCGCTGCTCTCGCTGGTTGCCTGTATACCAAGTTCCATTCGTTTGGTCGTCAAAAGCTCTCATTTTGATTGCTTCACGATCGGTGTGGCATCAACAACCTCTGCTATGCAATATGCAATGCCATCTGCAGCCAAAGCAATGGATTTGGCTATCTTTGATATTTACCCTTCTTTCCACTGAGGTCGTAGGACTCCCAGGAGGTATTCGATATTCCTTGAGATACTCGACATTCCTGGTTACTAACATGCCTCTAGGTGGAATTCCACAGCCGCCACATCTTTTTGGCGCTGCCCATGTACCCGGCGTCGGTCCTGGTGTGTTCCCTCCTCCACCCCCCGCCGCTCCTAAAGACTCTAAGGCTACGGGAAGTCAGCATGGAAAGAATTCTTACGTGAACCCAGATTTGGATCGTCCAATCACTCCCGCTCCCTCCGCTGCTCCTCCAGCTGCTCCTGCTAATCCTCCCGCTGCCCCTCCCGCTGCTCCCGCTGCTAACCCCCCAGCTGCTCACCCAGCTAATTCTCCCGCTGCTAATCCTCCCGCTGCTCCCCCTGCTAAACCCCCAGCTGCTCACCCAGCTAATCCCCCCGCTGCTCCCCCTGTCAAACCCCCAGCTGCTCACCCAGCTAATTCTCCCGCTGCTAATCCTCCCGCTGCTCCCCATGCTAAACCCCCAGCTGCTCACCCAGCTAATTCTCCCGCTGCCCCTCCCGCTGCTCCCGCTGCTAACCCCCCAGCTGCTCACCCAGCTAATTCTCCCGCTGCTAATCCCCCCGCTGCTCCCCCTGCTAAACCTCCAGCTGCTCACCCAGCTAATCCCCCCGCTGCTCCCCCTGCCAAACCCCCAGCTGCTCACCCGGCTAATTCTTCCCCTGCTAAGCCCCCAGTTGCTCACCCAGATAATTCTCCTGCTGTTCCTGGGACAAAAGGGTTTCCTTCAACTCCCACCAATGCACCACCTTTAGTTGTTCCTGGTGTCCCCAAAACAGGTAAAACATCTGCTGTCAAGAATAACCCTTCTGTGAATCCGGCCCATCCATTCCCGGAAACCAAACATAGTTCTGGGATTCAGACACCCCTTGTGCCCCCAGTTGTTCCTGCTGCCCCAAAGCCTACAGATCAAGCATCTGTCATCAGCAAAAGCCCACCTGAGAAACCAGTTTCTTCCCCCCCGGGAACTAAACAGACAATCTTTGTGCCCCCAGTTGTTCCTGCTGCCCCAAAGCCTACAGATCAAGCATCTGTCATCAGCAAAAGCCCACCTGAGAAACCAGTTTCTTCCCCCCCGGGAACTAAACAGACAATCTTTGTGCCCCCAGTTGTTCCTGCTGCCCCAAAGCCTACAGATCAAGCATCTGTCATCAGCAAAAGCCCACCTGAGAAACCAGTTTCTCCACCCCCTGGAACTAAAGAGACACCCTCTGTGCCCCCAGTTATTCCTGGTGCCCCAAAGCCTACAGGTCAAGCATCTGTCATCAGTAATATCCCATCTGAGAAACCAGTTTCTCCACCCCCTGGAACCACACAAAGCCCTTCAACACCCCCTGTTCCCCCAGGGACCGCACAAACCACTGCCAAATTATCTACAGCCAAGGTCAGCTCTTCTGTGAAGCCAAACCCTGTACAATCAGGGACAAAGCAAAAGCCCGATGTTCCCACAGACGCACCACGCCCAAGTTCTCCTAGCCCCAATATCACAAAAGATCAGCCACCTGTTGTTCCAAGCACTCTTTCAACGAAACCAGGGTCTCAAGAGACAGTGTCGCGGAAACAAAGTGGGAGCATTGGCCCTAAACTAAAAACAACAGACGTGCCACAACAAACTGTTAATCAGGTCACCAACACCATCGCATCTACTGCCAATGGCACGCCTACTGTCGTGCCTGTGGTTGCGCCTATACCAATCCCCAAACCGAAGCCATCAGTTCCTCCGCAGCCACCGGCTCCACCCAAACAGGAAGATGATCACAAGAAGGACGATGGCAAGAAAGACGATGATAAAGATGATGATGAGAAGGATGATGGGAACAAAAAGGGCGATGATGGGGATGACAACAAGCCACCTCATATCAATCCTCCTCCGGTAATAGTGAGCCCACCAAAGGTCAATCCCCCGCCAAAGATCGGTCCGCCAAACATCGGTCCGCCAAACATCGATCCGCCAAAGATCGGTCCGCCAAACATCGGTCCGCCAAACATCGGTCCGCCAAACATCGATCCGCCAAACATCGATCCACCGCCAAAGGTCGATCCACCGCCAAAGGTCAATCCACCGCCAAAAGTCAATCCACCGCCAAAGGTCGGTCCTCCTGTTGTTGATCCTCCAGAGGATAAGAAACCTACTCCCTCTCAGGAACCGTCGAAGACAGCAAAGTCCACTTTAACGAAGACGACGACCGCCATATCACAGGCGTCCACCACATCACAGGCGTCCACCACATCACAGGCGTCCACCACATCACAATCGTCCACCACACCACAATCGTCCACCACATCACAATCGTCCACAATGTCTTGCCCATCTGCCGTTCCCTCAGGCGATCCGAAAAATGGGAACGGCAAAAACAAGGATTGTCCTGCTCGTAGGAAATTGTGTAGTCAGGAGTGTGCTGCATGCCGGTCAGAGGAGGTTCCGCGCCCACCCGGTCTCACGAAGCGCGATATCGAACGACTTGAGAAATCTTCCATATCTGAAAGTGATTCTGGCTATCCCGGACACCTTGCCAAACGACGGATGGGAACACCTGCGGACTATAATAATGACCTGAAAAACTTCTTTTTCAACGAACTGAAAGTTGCTGCATTTGTTCCAAAAGGGTTTTGGATTGACCCCGGCGCTGCTATGCCGAGAAATCAACCTTCAGTCTTAGTGGCTGAGTTAGGAAAGCAGAAATTCAACGCGGGCATCATTAATCTTCGAGGATGTACGTCTGTTTTGGTTATTTCCTCGGCAGGCATGTGGTGGGCGCATTTTTGGGAAGCTCCCGGCTTCAGATATCAATCACTGATGGCAGGCTACCGGTTCAATGAGGGGATATTCAAAAAGAATGTGCTTGATGTCTTGGATGCAGGCTGCTCTTACCGTACGGTTAATAATGACAGAGTTGTCACCACCCGTACAACTGCGAGTGTTCGGTGCTTTGTAGGAGGAACACGAGAAAACCCGAAGAGGTTTGACCCAGTGTACGCCCCTGTGGCTTTTATCTTCACTCCGGAAGACTACGAGAAAGCAGGCCAGCCCCTCTATGCCCCGGAGGTTCAGCGAATAAGGGATAAACTTCACGAGATATTGGGCCCAGGCACCCCGATTACTACAATCACGCACAAGACTGTGGACCGTCTCGGAGATTCACCGAGCTTCCAACTCCCTATGGGTGCTTACCTACCTTATGGAAAAGCTCTTTTGCAATATGACCCCAGAGAGGAGGAAAGAGACTGTCGTTGGTGGGCGGGCGCCAAAGTCTACGCTGAGGAAAATCCTACGCCTTACCACCGCTCCCTGTGGCCAGCTCGGCCCAACCAGTTGATGACCCCTGCAGCCCAGAAGCGTGCCGCTCCAGACCTGGCCGGGCTCCCTGCATCATGCTCATTGCCTGTAAAATCGAAGACGAGCAAGTCTCCAACGAAAACGACCAGTAAACCCAAGTCGACAAAGGTTGCTAGCACCCTGATCAAGAGTGTCAAGACAACCGGCAAACCGGAGTCGACCAAGCAGCCAAGCACGACGACGCAAAAGCCTAAAACGACTCACCCGAAAACAACGAAAGCGCCAACTTCTACCTCCAAGTCCGAGCCCAAACCTGCAACCACAACTTCCCGCGAACCACCACCAAAAGAGGAAGAGTCTAGGGAGCAGAAGGAAGACAAGAAGGAGGAGAAGAAGAAGGAGGAGGAGAAAAAGAAGGAGGAGGAGAAGAAGAAGGAAGACAAGAAGGAGGAGAAGAAGAAGGAGGAGGAGAAGAAGAAGGAGGAGGAGAAGAAGAAGGAGGAGGAGAAGAAGAAGGAGGAGGAGAAGAAGAAGGAAGACAAGAAGGAAGAGCTCAACGCGGTCTGCAATGCATTCTTCTTCCGTGGGCGGGGAGAAACCCTCATTACTGTCTCCAGCATTAAAGGCTGGAAAGGTGGCGATGAGTTCCGTAGCAAGCTTGAGGACAAGTGTGGAGAGATAAAGCATTGGGGGTTTAAAGATGACACGGCGCGTTTCAACATCAAGGACGTCGGTCGCGTGTCGTGCGTGTCGAAGGCGGTCGAGGCGGCGGGAGGGCCGAGGACGACGTGTAGAGCACCCATAGGCGCTTAGGCCCAATATATGTAGTTTCTAGGAAGGTTGGAAGGTAAGAGGAATGGAGAAGGGAGATCTGAAAGTTGCATTAGGCGTGGTTAATTTGGTTCGAGCGAGTAAAAATAATAGCAATATATACACGGCGAGTTTTATCTCTCTCCCTCTCTCTGTGTGTGTATGCAATCAAATTCCAAAATACCCTCTCCTTGTCATGTGTCGTAAACAACACCCCGCCCAACTCCCCTAGTCATATCTGGTCCATAAAAAGTTCGGGCTCCCAAGTCCACGGAATTTCTTTGCCGTTTGGGGGCTGGAGCATAGTACGAGGCGTACTCACGATCCGGTTGCGCATAAGCGTTCATAGGCGGTGCGCTTTGAACGCTTGATGTCGGCCATTCAGGGTAGCCTGAACTTGGTCTTTCAGGGTAACGCGGAGGAAGAGGAGTAGGGTACTCTTCAGGCCGCGGCATTGGCCGTTTCCTACGGAAGTTAGCTATCTTATCCGCATCTTAATTTTTTTTTTTTTTTTTTTTTTTTTTTTTTTTTTGGTGACTGCACTCACAGCAGTGCCCGAGGTTCCTTGCGAATCCGTAACTTAATACCTTGGTCTGCAAATGATCTCGAAAGAAATGTTGATTCAGTCATTCCAGGAAAATTCTTGGGCGGCAAAACTGTGACCGTTGTTAGCAAATTCGTCCTGGCGTCTGGAACCGAAAGAGGGTAAGCCAGACCTTGAAAGGGCTTTGAAAGGATGGATTTGATGTGAACAACTTCGTCTCTGTGAAAATTCTCATCAGTTTCAACAGCGCCAACGGGTTCTCGAAGGTCATACTTGCGCATCTCAAAAAGATTGAATTTTAACCTAAACTCCCCCTCGACTCTAACAGAAAGGTCGCCAAATACGAAAAAGCCGCCATCTGCAAAAAACACTGGGATCAGTACCTGTAGTCGAAGGCCAACTGTGGCTCAGAAAGAAGTTACGAACCCGAGTTATCTATGTCCTTTAACCGATGTAATGATGATACAAGAGTGCCCGCAAGGGCTGTCGACGCGGGTACCGGAGCAGGTCGGTCCTCTGTTGGGTGGTGCAGCCCGCAGCACATAAAGTAGTACGGGCTCTGTAAGTAGTTACTAGAGGCCTAGGTCAGTCTGAAACTGTGCAAAGGATCATAGGGGTTAAGGGAGTCATTTACTGTGATGGGTCGCTCTCATCTCGCACTCGAAGCTGGATGATTGGAGGCGGATCTACCGGCTTGCGCTCTGCCACAAAAGATGAGCTTCCGCACCAGAAAGTAGGAGAGAGAAATAGAGAGAGGGGAGAAGAGATGATTCGCAATCACAAACCTTTTTCTTTTCCTCCCGCAACACGGGCCCGCTCGGGGTTCTGACGGACTGTGAGGTCGTAATCAGAACTGAAATCCACGGGGAAACTGTCAGCGAGTGCGTCCACACACACAACCAGCACAGGGGGACGGCATAGAGGAGTAGATATTTCTTTTTATTATTTCTTTATTTGCTTTTCATTTCTTCCTTTTTTTCATATTCATTTTCTTTTTATTTTATTTTAAAAGGGGCAGCCACGAACCTTTGCAGGCCTGTGTGAGGCGGATGGTGTTCTGGATATCCTGGAGTATTCATGAAGTCTACAGTGTGGTAGAAGGGAAGAGAAGTACCGGTCGCAGGCGGAAGGCTCTTCCTTGGAATGGAGGGCGGCAGGACACCCAGGGAATATGCGTAACTCAGGGAATTTCAGATCTTGGGTTGTAGGTCGAGTTGGACCGTGCGGTGAACAATCGGGGAGAGTGAAAGAAGGTAGAGTGGAGCAGCTCTTCTTTTTTATAAAGCGCACGGCAGCAGCGGGATAGTGAGCATAATATAATACCACGAAACCTAGCGAGACAGCAAAAGAGAGGCTCGAAGCTCAGGAGGACAAAAGCGGGGAGGCGATTCGAGAAAAACGCAAGAGTGTCGTCAGATAAAAACGGTGCTCCGCGCTTAAATAGAATGCCACCGAAGAGCAGCTAGCTGACAAGCTCAAGCACGAACCACAGAGCGCCTCAAAGTTCTCCAGGATTGTCTTTTCTTTTCCCTTCTGCACAGAATGGGGCGAAGTGGAGTAAACTCGGCGTTGCGGCTGCTGACAGCACTGTGCTTCCTTCCGCCTGGTTTCAACCACGGGAGCCGGGGAAGGAGGAGGAGGAGGAAGAGGAACGGGCAGAGGAACGGGCAGAGGAAGCAGAGGAGGACGGCGAACAGAGGATGATGGCGAACCCAGGGTTGGGCGCGTCAACGGCAACGCTTGGTTCCAACCCCGGCAGGAAATGCCCTAGGGCCCAGGCCTTGCGGAAATTTTCCTCAAAGGATGTGCACGACCCAAGAAATGGGCTGTATTTGAGTTCGGCGGTTGACGAGTCTCCAAACTCAAATGGACACGGCGTGGGTGGTCTAGAAGGTTTAGGGTGCCAGAGAACGGCCTGCCAGACGCAGATTCGGAGCGGCCTTTGGGTCCTCGGGGGGTGGAATGGACGATGGATGGGGGGGCGGCGGCTTTTTTTTCCCTGGGAACCGTGTCAGATCTGTAGCCCTACAGCGTATCGATGGGGCCCGGGTATGCACGAAATCCGAGGGATAAGCGCGCGCCCGCGAATCACCAGAAAGGTAAAATGGATGGGGGAGGAACCTTGAAATGATGTAAACTCTTCCCTGCCCTCCGGTTCTCGTGCTCAAGGCGCGGATAAGGTGTTGGAGAACCACGGATGCACCACCCTGAGTCTGTGGAATCGTAGCCTGTCTATCCCGCCTATGACTCCTTGACAGCCAGGCGAAAAATAAGAGGCGCGCGGTCGTTCCAAGGGCCCTACCCAGATCCTACGCCTCGCATCGGTCGAGCAAGAAGGGGACGGAGACGGATGAGGACGAGCGGGGAGTGCGAGGCAAAAGAAGACTTGTCTGAGATGGAGAAGACCAGGTGAGATGAATGCCCTATTCCCTTGTTCCTTTTTTCCTTCTTCTGTTCCCTTTTTTTTTTAATTCTTCCTTTTTTTTTTTTTTTTTTTTATATTATTATATTAACGACACTTCAAGCCGTCAACGTCTTCTTCCTCCCCCTTTTGCTGCTGCCGTCCACCACCAAGGCAGAACTATAAAATGAAATAAAATAAAATAAAATAACCCTCGCTCTCGCAGTGCCCGTCTTTCTGGCGCGGGTTATGACAGACAGAGGAGTGGATGACCAGGGCCAAAAGCAATATCCCCAAAAGACGGCAGCGAACGTGTGCGTGCGGCCCAAGATCCGATTTCAGAGCCCCTCCCAGGGTTTACCTGCCCACCGGGGTGCTTTTTTATTTTTTATCTTTTATTTTTTTTTTTCTATTTTCTTTTTTTCTTCTTCTGTTCTCTCAAGTCCAGAGGCGGGCGTAAGAAAGCTCCATGAAAGATTGACAAGAAAGCAAGAGGAAGAAAAGCCGCTGCCGTTGAAGGAGATCTTCGAGAATTGAACCGAAACGCGCCCACTTAACTGCGCCTTTCGCGCTGTGAGAAGACCCAGGCTGGGATAAGACGCGGCCAGCAGTCGTGGCCGGCCACGGGGGAGGAGTGCAGAGGCGGGAACCAGGAAGATGACTTGATCTCGAGTAGAAGAGAAAGTGGAGGAGACGAACAGCAAGAGATGAGGATCCTCGCGGAGGAACTATGCAGACTAGGATGCCCAGAGCAAGCAAACGCAAACGCCCAAGCATGTACTGTACCTACATATTCAGTTACCTAGGCCGATACGCGGTCTGAATACTGCCCCAGGCCCCCGATATTAATAGAGGCCGCGACTGAAGGGCATCCCGGAGAAGATTTAAGCAAAGATCGGCCGGATGCAGGAAATCACAGCTTATTGGACGGATCACATCACAGGTGAACTGAGAATGTTGGCAGTGGGCCAGTGATATCAAAGGAAGTACGGTGTACTTTCTCTAGTCCGGGAAAAAAAAAAAAAATAAGAAATAAAAGAGGGCACAGCCGAAAAAGGGAAGCAAAATAAAATAAAATAAAAAATAGTTGATGGGCCGAAGCCCCAGGCTATGGAATACTGCCAGGTCTCTTGGAAACAAACCAAAACAGTTAAGAGACCTGGGAAAGAATTGACTTCGTGGGGGAAGACATTACATCTGGTTGTCGAAGGCGAAAACAACCCCCAACTCCCGCCGCCACCGAACGAAGATGCTGCTGGGCCCCAGGACAACGGCGGGAAAAAGCCGTATCCCGGACCTCTTGCATCCCCTGTGACACGAGCGAAGCCATCTTCAGCTTTGGCGGCGAGAGTGCGCTGCATCGTCACTATCTTGTTAGGCCACGGCGGATCATCCGGACTGTCGACATTTCAGCAACAAAGCCCTTGCATTAAACTTCCGCTTTGTGCGGCGCGTCCAGATCGTCCAATTCTTAAGCGCCTCTTCGACAGGGGGTCAAGGGCCTTTTAGTGCTGCGTCCAAAACAGTCTTAGCCGGATCTACGACCCTCAACTCTTTTCTCCACACTGACATCGACCATGCAGGATCTATATCGACTAGCTTGCCCAGCGAAAAAAAGGTATTTTAGGGCGGCACTGTTAATCCGTCCGCGCATTTTGGGGGAGGGTCGGAAAGAAAATATGTAAGTCGCCTCATAGGATGGCTGCGAAAGTACGGAGTAAGTGCGGTCGCAGCCGTATTTTGGCCGGCGAACAATCTCCAGGGAAGGGGAGCGCAGAAAAACGCGCCACTGGAGGAACAACTAGGAGTTAAACCAGCGAGTCATCTGCGACTTTGTTTTATGCGGCGAAATGCCCGTTCGAAAGAGAAGACGTGCCGTCTGTCCGGCACGGTTTTCTTTTTCCAGATCTCATACATACGATATAATACGAACAAACGCAATGGTGGAGGGTGCCCAGTTGACCCTTTCGATAATTGCATTTCCGTCTTTGGCTAACAGTCATCGATCAAGCAGCATTTCTTGAACACATCACACGCGGGTAGCGTACTCCGCATGTCCGGGGCGAAGGAATCAGGACATCGCCGCTCTATTTCAGGCCCAACTCTAACGAGTGGAGGTAGTTGACCATTCTCAAGGAATAGAACACGCCAAATGCGGTGCAACTTCAAATCCTTTGCCAACATCACGAGTGGCAGCCCACCACACCCTTCTGGGTGGATGAGCCGGCGATTTTAAAACCGGGTACCTACAGGAAGACCCAAAGGAAAATATTCCCTGGGTGTCTATTTTGGGGAATTTTTCTTTTTCTTTTTCTTTTTTAAAAAAAAAAAAACAGCGTCGACCTCTCTGCCCAGGCTCTCAGTTCCGCTGTGATCTTCATAGCAAACACCGAATTCCCCGGGGCGATAATTTCACGATGAGCAAAGCGTGAAGTGCGGGGCCACAAGGTATGTATTGGCAAACTGCATGATCAATGGAATGCAGATCCTGTCAAACAATCCTCCATCTTCGTGCATCAGGAACCGACCATCAGCCCGTCGATTAACTGGGGAAGAAAGATCGGCATTCTCCGTACATGCGTCCCAGATTCGAATGTAAAGAAAGCCGGACGGAGTACATAAAAGAATCCTCTCCTTTTTTTTTTTTTTTTTTTTTTTTTTTTTTGGTATTTACGAACGACTGGCGGATGCGACCTTGTATGATGGCCCCCACGGTGGTGTGTGGGCTTTCATCTTCGAAACATTTCTGATCGGTGAAAGCTAGATGATGCGATTTTCGGATTCTCTTGCGTTTGCGCCTTGAAACAGACTCCATTTTACATCATCATTGGCCATAGGGGCAAGTTAGTTAGCCCGAGGGAAAACGACTTTGTATTATTGAGGCCTTTTGTCTTTGTGTGCACGGGTTTTGACAGCAGATTCAAAAAGCAAAAAACTGTCGGACGTCAGCGGGCTCCCTGCCGATGTATATCGTAATTGCAACCACAACGCTCGGCCTCTGTCTCCATCCATGGTTCTCGTCGACACGCTCTTCGTCATCCCATGGAACCGCTTCCGATGACAGGCCGAGAATATCTACAGAACATTCGAGGAATTGGTTTGGCAGGATATAAAGTTAAGTCAATTACGAAAATGCAGAAGTTTAGCACAGGCCCGGAATAATGCTGTACCCAGTTTCCGAGACCTCGATCTGACCCGGGGGGGACCGGGCTAGAAAGTCGAAAGAATGACATCAATCACTGCTCAATGTTGCTTCGAGCTTGAGATCGCATTCTCACCAGGGGAAAAAAAAAAAAAAAAAAAAAAAAAAAAGGAGAAAAAAGAAAAGGAAGAAAGAAAGAAAAGAAGGCGTTCAAAAACACATTTTCGCTTCCCCCACCGGCCGTGTTCTCTTTACCCTTTCTCGCAAGGAAATGGTACTCCGTGGAGGGTGAAAAAAATAAGAAGAAAAAAGAAATATGCCCATTCTGCAGGGCGGGGAATCGGACCACTGAGCAATAATTAGATGCGCCAAGAGGCAGCAGACGAGTTTCTTTGGCAGACTCATTTTCTAGCACAAACTGCTCCGTCCTCTCTACCCGCCCTGGCCAGCGCTGAGTGTCGTACAGAGGATCAAGACAGTCCCTCCAATCGGTGGCCGCTCATGTGCGCTAGGGCCTCTTCTCCGATTTTCGCCAACGTCCTTTCGCCTGCGTGCGAACTATCAACTGAAGTCCTCTGGCGGCCAACGACAACCAAAGGAAAGAAAAGAGAGGCGAAAAAAAGGAATTCGTCGTTTCTGCATTCCCGCTACCTCGTTTGCTCAAATCCGTCCGCATGACGAGCCTTCCCTCAAACACACCTCTCACAAAGAGAATATGAGAAACGCAAAGTGTTCTTATTCCGAATAATTTGATTGGTTCTCGGTGCGGAATGGCCAAAACTACCCTTTTCTTTTTTCCCCCGTCCTCTTCCCCACTCGATTTCCATTTCCATTTCCCTTTTTACTTTCTCTTTCTTTAAAGAAAGCAGGTAGCGTTTTCCCCCTTCACCGGCAGCGCCAGTAATATACGGGCATCCTGCTCCGGAGGGAGTGCAAATCCTCAAACAGCCTGTTGGTTTTCTCATCAGGGTTGCACAGGAAAAAACCGCCTCGTAAGCATGAAACAGGAATGACTCGCTGCCTGCGGTATACGGCTCATTCCACCAAGACTGGCGTGG